AGTTGATTCTGATGTTGTAGTTGATTCTGATGTTGTAGTTGATTCTGTTGTTGTAGTTGATTCTGATGTTGTAGTTGATTCTGTTGTTGATGTTGTTGATACTGTTGATGTTGTTGTTGATGTTGGTGTTGTTGATGTTGATGTTGTTGATGTTGATGTTGTTGATACTGTTGATGTTGTTGTTGATGTTGATGTTGTTGTTGATGTTGTTGTTGTTGATGTTGTTGTACGGACAGTCATATCTGAAAAAAAAGAACGAACATCTTTTAAAAATTCTCATAACAAATAGAAAACTTTTTATATAAAGTATTCACTGATGATAATATTTTATATTTTCCTAAATGATCGCCATTAATCTATTGTTTTACCACAAATGAATGTGTAGATGCACGAGGGATAGAATATCTACACCTACACCCTCTTTTTGATCGAAGCTTACCTTTTGTCGCAGTTGTCGCCACGGTTGTTTCTGTTGTCATATTTGTTGTTGGCATTTTTTCCGCATTATTTGTCTTTTTCGTTAAAATAATAGTTGTAGGAACGACAACGATTACTATAACCAACAAAACAACTGCAATCCAAATGACTTTTTTTCGAGTACGCATACATCTAGAACACAGAATAATTTTTATCATTTACGAAAGTTCAATTCTGCATACGATGTAATTGATTGAATAATTGATGTTTCTCTTGCGTCATCCATAACTAATTGAGACTGAAAAGCAAATAAAACAAGACTTTTTCTATGATTTATTTTTTCAATGATTAACATAACATACCACTATTGTATTCTGATGCATTGACAATGATTTGGCTAAGTGTGATGCTTTTCTGACAATTTACGATGCAGAATCTATTAGAATCAGACAACAAAGATGTTAGAAATAGGGGTGTTACTTCATCTTTACTGTATACAGTAAATATAAAGTAAATCTTTATCGTTATTTTTTAAAGAATAAAGATAAGGAAATAAAGTAAATCTTTATATTTATAAAATAAAAATAAAGAAAAAGTTACTTTATTTTATCCTTTCCAAGTAGATCGCCAAATATTATAAGGACACATGCTAAAAAAGATTCTGGAGAGAAGTTTTTTCATAAATCTTTTATGTTTCACATTCATTTGCTGGCATTATTCCATATTAGAATATGGTTAGTGATAGAAAAAAATTGTGATCAATATTATCTGTTTTTATATCAATTATTTGTCTATTTACCGATTAGTTAAAAATATTTTCTTTATTCTTCATTTTAACTTTACTTTTGCAAATAAAGATTACCGTTATCTTTATTTTATAAGTATACAGATTTACTTTATTTCTTTAGCTTTATTCTTAAAAATAAAGATAAAGATTTTCGTTATTTTATGCTTTATTATACTAGTTAGAAAAAGATCTAATGTTTGGCAGATGGTTCTTCTTATCAAATTTTCTCATTTCTCCTACCTTCTAACAAGTAATTACTTTATTAACAGCTGAAGTCAGTTATTCTCTCTTCATAGAAAGAGTATAATATCAGGGTTTTGCATAAACTAACCAGCTGAAACAAATAGAATAATCCTCAAAAAAAAAGATCTGCTCCATTACCATATTTTTTTATTATATCAGAACTATTTTGCTAACCGGAAAATATATATTTATGACAGAGAAATAACATATGACAAAGTTTTATAAAAAAAAGTGAAAAATATATATGGAATAAAATAGACTATAAACATGAGTTTAAGACATCTCTACCAGATTATCAGTTTAATTAATAGTATCCGTGTGAAAAATATGATCTGATTATTCTATCAGTTAGTTTAAAATTCGACTTAAAATAAAGGAGTACTAATCTAGCAGCTGTCACTTCGTTTGTTCTGACCCAAAATTTGATGAGCGGATCGAATACACTTAAAATCCGAAAATCAAATTCAGACTGAAAAATAATCTAACGATTTCGATTTGAACGAGAGTTAAAATTAGGGCTGCCACAGATTTTAAATGAATAAACTAAACCATTTCTTGTCTATCTTATTTACTTTTCTACTTTAATTATATGAAAAATACTCAAAAGTCTTGTTGGTCTTGATAGTATCTAGTAAACGATACGTAAAGAGGGTTGATATCAATACTGATTATCAGATAATCTGATAATCTGATCTATTAAAATCATAAGTAATATTTGTCATTAGAAAAAAATCTCAGCTCCAAAGACTATACTCAGTTCACTAGGATTCTCTCATGAACGCATATCAAAAAAGAAAACGACACAGTTGTAATCAATGAAAGTAGCGGAGCAAATCTTCATTTTTCTCTGTTTTTTTTTTAATTTAGAAATTTTGTATGTCTCCATACACTGTTTGCAAGGGAAACCTGATATTTTCTCTATTTCCGCCACCCTCAGAACGATATTTAACTATATTTATTATAACTAAAAGTAAAAGAGAAAGACTATCCACCTGATTTGTATTTATCATCTAACTTCTGGCATTGTTTTTCAACATGCAAATAACAACTTGTTAGGGTAAAAATTAATTTTCTCTTCGTGGATGCATGTAATTGGAGATTTCCTAATCAATCACTGACGTTTTTATTAATCTGGATATCTTAATTATATTAAAAGATTGTCTTACATTTTGTACAAATATTAACAATTATTCCATCACATTTGGAAGTTTTCAACACTCGACAATTATATTGGACTCGTACAAAGAAAAATATTTCATAATTAAATTTTATTTTGAACATTTTCTATTTTTTTTTTTGTAGAAAAACTAAAAAAAAGTTTATGTTATTTGCTTAAATTCTATTTTTTTTGTGAAATACAGATCGAAAAGAGTCTAAAAGTGTAGGGTGTGGGTATTCTATTCATCTAATACATATATTCACCTCAACATTTACCTTTGCATAACACTAAGATATTTTATTTTACAAATGGTGAGAAAAAAACAAATTCTTGAGGATGTGGAGATGATAGACATTCACAACATGACTTTTTTTCTCGGCAATAATCGTATAAAGAATTAGTTTATTTTGTTATATTTTTACAAGATAACATTAGAAATCTATGAATTTAATCGATTTTCATCTCTTTATGTTCATAAGTCAATAATTGTCAGAATTATTCGCTGTTACTTTCGACTTCTAATCGATAAGAAACGATTAAAACAAGGAGAAAAATATAAATTATGCGCTTAATGATAGATAAGTATTTGTTCTTCGTTTATTCTTTTTTTTATACATATAACCAGGTTGTATCGAAGTAGACAACGATATAATATCATTGTTACTTTTAACATGCATCAATTCATTCCCCACGTGCATATTACATACTAAAGATATACCTATAATAACAAAAAAAAAATAAAATACAAAAGAACGTATATATTATTCAGACGTTTTCATTGCGTAAGTAAAGTGTGTATATCGATTGTTAAATACTCATCTCAAATCGAGAATAAAATAAGATAAAAATTGTGAATTTAAACATCGCACAGACATAATTCAATATTTGATTAGCTCAATAAAACTTGTGTTTATTTTTGTACTTTATTATGTTTTAGTTGACAATTAAAATCTTTACTATCGTTGTATTGATCTTCATCTATTAGTTATTCAAAAAACAAAAACAAATGTCCAATCAAGAATATCGATTATCCGGTCGCTTAGGTGCCGATTCAATTAAATTAAATAAATCATCGTCGATTCCTGAACCGGGTCCAGGACAAGTACAAATTAAATTTCATGCTTGTTCTGTCAATTATCGTGATTTGCTCATCAGTAAAGGATTGTATCCAGTATCAGCGAAAACCGATATCGTCCCGATATCTGATGGTGCTGGAGAAATAACAGCTGTTGGTGAAAATGTTACTGATCTGAAGATTGGTGATAGAGTGACACCTAATTTTAATCAAGATCATCTTCAAGGACAATTAACAGAAAAAGAAAGTGCAGCATGTCTTGGCAGTGGATTGGATGGTTGTCTTCGTCAATATGGTGTTTTTCGAGCTTCTAGTTGTGTAAAAATACCTGATTCACTCTCCTATGAAGAAGCGTCTACCTTACCTTGTGCAGCATTAACAGCCTGGAATGCTCTCTATGGAAACTCGGACAAACCTTTAAAATCAGACCATACTGTTCTCGTGCAAGGTACGGGTGGTGTTAGTGTTTTTGGTGCACAATTTGCTTTAGCAGCTGGTGCAAAAGTCATCCTGATTTCATCAACTGATACGAAAATCGCTCGAGTTAGACGATTTCTTGTCCACAGAAATCTTTCTACAATTAATTATTCGGCAACTCCACAATGGGGTAGAAGAGTTAAAGATCTGACTGGTGGACGAGGAGTCGATCATATTCTGGAAATTGGTGGTGAAAAGACCTTAAAACAATCATGTGAAGCTCTAGCATTTGGTGGTACAATCAATGTTATCGGATACCTTAGTATGATAGGTACTGGTCCAAGTATGAGTGGACTAGAAATTTTCATCGCAGTATTGTCGAAGAATGCTTGTATTCGTGGTCTTGCCATTGGTAGTGTTGAACAATTCAATGCGATGAATGCCGCTATTGAAACACATAAAATTAAACCAATTGTGGATAAAGCTTTTGAATTTGAAGATCTGAAGAATGCTTTCGAATATCTATCGGGACAGAAACATATTGGAAAGATTGTTATCAAAGTGCCACAATGAACACTTTATATAAATTATTAATTAACTGATTCTTAGAATTTAGAATTAAACTAACCTATTTATAATTAAAATTGATAAATATATTTTTTCTTTTCATCGACAAAAGTGTTATTTGTTTGGATATGTTAGTACTATCAAATATGAATTGAATAGAGTATGTGACAATAATTATTCTTGTCTAATCTTCACCTTTCAGATCATTGAGTAGGTATTGCAATAACAGCTACACGATTTTTTTAGTTGGGTTCTGATCAATACGAGAACTAAACTCAATAATGTCAAAAACGTTTCACCTCCAATTTATATAAGACGATATGTTTATCGATGTCCTATTCCACGAACAACATAAATGACAAGTATCCTTTGAATAGTCAGTAATATCTCGACTGTGTTGTCGTTTGATTAGTAATCGACATTGATTTGTTTGTTAATTGACGAAGGAAATAGGATAATGTTCATATATATGGCTAATAAATAGTAGAGAGAAAGACTATGAATAGCAACGATGATCCATGTAGTCTAGAATATGTTCGTGATCGATGTATAACAATAAAATTCGTTGAGTAAATATGAAACATAATTTCCGATCAACAGAGCATATAAAAGACTAAAACCACTGATTGGTTGAGAAAAATAAGAATGACATAGAATCGGAATACTTGAAACCACCTGTAATTCGAATATACAATGCGATTAACACGAAAGAAAGCCTAACAATTTCTCATAAAGTAAATAGATATATGAGACTCAATGTTTTGTTCAAGATGAACTGTATTCATACAATGTAATAATAGAGATTATCCAACTAATTCTACTTTTAAACAGATAATTTCAGGTATCATATTACTTATCTTGAACGATTACGACTATTGAATTTGTTTTAAGTGAAACGGTAAGGAATTTGTACTGCTTCTAACACCTGTCGATGAGTGAATTTGAGCTCTAAATCCAATTATTCTAACTATTTAGATCGTTCTATACTAATGAGGCAGTAGACGAAGGTCAGTCTATAAACATAAATCATCACATATTTTCTCTAATTTTTATCTGAATAACAAATGTATCTTCTATATATATAAAGAAGAATGTCTGTTTGTTTGTTCGCTACGCATTTGGAGACCTTACGAGTAAATGCAATGAAACTTTCCAGAAATTGTGTCTACACCCAGGTGGTTCTGTGATAGCTAACGTCACCAAACCATCTATGACACTTCTGTATATACAAGGAAAAGTAAAGAGGGGGTCGGATACGGAAGATATTTGAAATTTAAATATTTTGCAGCAGATACCTCCGCTAGTTGATAATAAAACAACATGCTAGAAAAAAATCATTAATATAATTATATATTGACATATCATCATTACTGTATAGATCATTCCTTTGTCCGCTGATAAAATAGTATTCAAAACATTTTCTTTTAATCTTTTTCTAAAGCAGAAGTATGTGAGTACTTGCTTAATTCGACTTCTAATATAAATGAAACAAAAAAGAATTATTTTATCAATTTCTCAGTTATATAAATGTGATAAATGAATACTTTATTGATATCTCATTTATATAAATGTGACAAATGAACACTTCACTGTAGGTTAGGAAAAGAAAAAAAGAATTTTTCTTTATTGATGTCTCATTTATATAAATGTGATATATGAACACTTTATTGAAGGCTAGGAGCAAACGAAAAAAAGAATTTTTTTTATTGACATCTCATTTATATAAATATAACAAGTGAACACTTTACTGTAAAATTAGGAAAGAAAAAAAGAAAAGTTTTTTGAATCCATTTATCATTTATTTTCGAAATAAGAACAATCTTCTTAATGTTCATTTACATTATAAGTCGAATTAGACATCTCATGTCGTCCACACTTAAAAGAATTTTTCTTTCGTTATATCGTTCGTTCCCTGTTCATCTACGAAGAGAGGAAAGAAAAAAAGATATTTTAACCTCTCTTTCTCTGACTAATTAGTTTGTTCTTTTCCCTTCCCATATTCATTTGTGTTTCGTTGCGTTTCGTTTCATTTCGTTTAGAGAGTAGTTGCATAAGTTCGCTGTCTATTTAACCCTTACTCTACACTAACAATCGAGAAATAATTCAATATAGAAACTAATATACATTTAACATAATTATTGAGTGTTGTCTTCGTACAGTATACGTTAGAATATTTTATATCAGTGTAATTTCACTATACAAAAGACGTCATTTACACTCGTTCTATTGTGTTCCTCTTATCGATATTTATGTTAAACATACATCGAATAAAAATATTTTTCTCTTCAGATGTATTACTTACTAATTATATTTACATTAGTAATTGATGTAAGTTATGGTTTATTTTCTCCTCAAAATTCGGATTGTGATGCTCATGGTCTTAAAATAACTGGTAATGATATAATGTTGGTTAAAGCTTTAGGTGATTCCAAATTATTTCTTATTCGATTTGCTCCTTACGATTATGTATCTCAATCGCTTCAGTGCGTGATTCCATACAATGATACCAATCAATATGTATATTCAGTAAGTATTGGTGAAAAACAAAATTCCAATCAAACACATTTTTTTTATGCGGGAAAAATATTAAATAATTCATCGCCTATTGGTTCATTAGACCATGGCGACATGTTTATTGGTATATTAGTCAATAATTATCGTCAAAATACATTTATTTCTGCAGATACAGAGACATTATTCAATTGCAATCATTTTCAATATCAATCACTTCAATTTCTTTCATCTTATGGTCATCAAGAGTTTTTTGTATTCGCTGTTGAACCTTACGGTCAATATGCAATTGGCATAGCAAAAGATTTTATCTTTACTTATCATCCATTTGTTGATAATAAGATAAAAACAAAGAATAGCAGTTTGTTATGGGCTCCTAATACAGTATTTATACCTATAGCAGTTGATACACATACTTCATATACTATTGTTGCTGGTTTTGTTATTAATGGTCCTTTGTTTCGAGTACGTGCAACACCTACAGTTTATGTGATATCAAACTCTGGCCTTAATGTATTATCAACATGGTCATATGTAGTTGCATTAAATTCATGGGAATCATATTTAACTTATTCGAATCTTAAAGCATGGTCAAATAAATATGTTATGTCAGTAACTATTAATTTAGATGATCCTAGTCGAGTACTTGTTGGTATGCCATTTCTTAATACTGTATTTTTATTAATTGTTAGTTCAAATGGTACTAATATCATATTAAATAGTTTTGTAAATAATGGAGATTCAATAGAATTTGGAAAGAATGTTGCGTGGTTATCAAATTCTGAAGCAGCAATATTAACTTCAAACTGTTTAATTAAGAATTCTTCAAAAGTTTATTTATATAAATCATTAAATAATATGTCATTATCACCATCACATTCAGCAACATTTCCTAATATTCAACAACGTTTACCACCAACAATAAATTCTCGTTTTATTCAAATGATTTCAACGCCAAGTTCACTTGCTATACTTGGAGTTAATAGTGAAATACTTCTTCTGTTACCTTCTCCACCAGGATATGTTTCATCGACAACTTTAGCTGCAACTGATTCAATATTTATTGTCAGTGAATCAATGATGTGTATGCCTGGTACATTTAAAAATAATAGTAGTATTTTTCCATGTTCTCTATGCCCAAGTGGTACAAGAAATCCGAGTAATCTCGCACCTATATCATGTATAACATGTTCATCAGATACATTTTGTCCAATTGGATCTGTAAGTGATGTAAATAAAAGCTTTCTTTATCCTCGCTCGCAAGCACATGTTTATCCACGTTCACCTGACATAATTGTATTCGATGAAATTCTTCTTCAAAATATGTTTTCAACTAGTGTGAATGAACTCTGTATTTTTATTTCACCTCTTTTTTGGGTACTAATAGTTATTGGTATTGTTATTATTATATTAGCTATTATGGGTATAATTAAACGGTGGGTTCAACATCCTGTTGCTCATAAAGTACGTTATCATGTAAAGAATATCTTTCGACAAGCTGATCTCATCGTTAGTATTACTAGAAAATTTTCATTTTTTTATTGTTTGATTACTTTATTTATTTAGCATGAAGGTGAAATGTGGATGGGTGGATTACTTTCATTTGCTGTTATTGTTCTTCTTATATTTGCATATACATTTTCTGTCGCCTTTTATCGAGAATATCCATCAGAAAATAGTGGTCCATCAACATTTACTTGTGGTGAAACAATCCGTAATGTTAAATATGAAAGTGGTCTACAATCACTCTCAATTCCAGCTTCACATGATGAACAACCAATGTTGGATCTTCTTAATGAACAAAATTATATTCTTCGTTTAGATGTATTAAATACCGTTGTGTCATGTAAAAATTTAGTCGTTGAACAAAGTTTTGGATCTTCAACAACAAAATTAATTCCAAATTGTATATACACAAATGGAATTTTATCAGCTCATGTTAGATTATCCTATCATAAAGTAATAATTAAATGGATTTTTAACGATATTGCATTTATCGGTGGTATACGCATTAATCTGTTAGCTGATGAAGAACATTATGAAATGTATCAATTGAAAGAACTCGATTACAGTCAGACAATTTTCGATTATTTTAATCGAACATTATCACAAACGATGGCTATTCATTTAGAATTGACTAAAGTAAATTCTTTGGTTTTTCTTTTAAATTAATTTTATCCATTAAAATCACTTAGGCAATCAATGAAACAGAATCACTAACAGGATATAAATCAAAATTTTCAGGAATTTGGAATCCAAATTTTGTCGTTGATGAAAATCATATGTTTATTTCATCTGAAGATTATATTACATCAGTTGATCTTACATCAACTACATTAACTATGTTTATAAGTGAAACATCATATTATATTAAAAATCGTCAATTACCTATTGCTAAATTACGTGAAATTGTTTTTCATAATCTTCTTTTTACAATTGTTTCTCTTGACATTTTTCGACTTATTATACTTCTCTATAAATTAGTTATGCTTCCTTCAATCAATATTCTTCTGATACACTTCAGAAATAAAAAAAGAATTATATTAACAAAAATGGAAAGTGTTGATCATGATACAATGACTGATGATTATGATACAACAGTAGATGATCATGATACAATACCATATGATCATCTTATATCAGTAGATAATCATGATACAACAACAGATAATCATGATACAACAACAGATGATCCTGATACAACAACAGATGATCCTGATACAACAACAGAAGATCATACTACAATAACAGATAATTATAATACAATAGGAAGATCAACAGGAAATGATTATTATATCGTTGACGTTAATTGATGAATAAATAACTTGTACATAAAACTTTTTCTTTAATCAATTAATCAGTTTTTGTTATTCTTTCACTAAAATTGTTTGTCACTATAGGAGTATTATATACGACATGTGACTAATGAACTAAACAGTTCATCATTTCTCTCTGTTTTCATATAATCATGTAATAACGTTTGTCCAATTTTCGGACACATTTCTCGACGTTTTTATATTATTCCATTTTTGATATTGTTGAGCGCGATACATCTTGTTACGTTTTCTTCTTTCATGCGTTTAGATTTTCTGTCTCTATAATTCTTTCGATATGCGTTTGTTCCTTATCAAATACATGATATGCTTTCATCTACTTCTCTTTGTCATACATCTTTAATATGTAGAAACATATGAAAAGAGAACGTTCGTTTCCGAAGATAGTACAGGTAACGGAAAAAACTTTGGAATATTCAGAAATGGTTTCGCAAAATTTAATGCTTCATTAGAACTAAGCTTTACATATGTAATAAGTGTAGTTATTCATTGAGTGAATGGATGATTGTGTGAGTAATATATTTGAATCTTGCCTTATACATATATTATTTTTTTCGAATAATCAATTGAAAAAAAACAAACTCAACTTCAGTTGTTATTGTTCTACACAATTGATTTTATCGAATGTGATAGTTCACTAATTAAAATAAACAGGTGTATTATATTTATATTTTTGTCGTCTCATTTTACTCATGAGCAGAGCACGGATATGGACTCCATTGTCCTTCACATGTTTATAATACTTGCATTCACACACACACATATATAGTATATATTGATCTCAATTGTCTTATACAAATAAGAATGACACAGGAAACGATTTTACACAAAAAAAACTTGTCTGCATACTTGAGGGTGTGGGTGTAGTTAAGATTAATAAGATACACCCACACCCTTCGTGATGCAAAGGATCAATTCAGTATGATCATATTTTCATCATTATTAAACAACTATTCGGATATTTAGTATTTTCAATAACTTGAACAGCTGACGTAATTTATCGGGAAATAGGAAAATAACAGAAATAATTGAGTAGTATATGAAACATCAGCATGAAAATGAATATTAGTCTGTTATTTTGACGTATGTTATCACTTAGGCTACTACTTGATTATAGCAACAAAGAAGAGAATATATTGCAAATCCTCTTAACAGCAAGCAATTAACATCCTACTGGTAAGTAAATCAATCTCACAGACACGATATTGAGGAAATATCTTTATTATGAAAGAAATGACGAAAAACTCGAGCAACTTTTCCAAAGTATTGTATTTATTTGTCTTAACACTGATTACGATCATTTTTAATTCATTTCTTTCATCGATATACGAATGTTTTGTTTATTCATCCAATTAAAAAATAATCGTCTTGTTGTTGTTAGTCTGTTTTTAGGCTTAATAAACGTTGTTGAAGTTTTGCTGATTTATTTTACTTCATTTAAATCAAATTTGTTGAAGTTAATAATACATTTCTCATTTCCAGCACGTCTACAATCACTATGAGAATATTTATTCTCAATCTAGATGAATCATAAAATATGTGAATGAGCAATAATTAAAATACGAATTAGTAATAATCTTAGAACAATAAAAAACTCCTATTCGAGCAGTATTAAATTATGAAATGTGTAATAATTAATCCATTAAATAGCAATATTAACTTCATATTTTAGCAATAAGAAAAACGAAAATGAGCAATTAATCCACTATTGTATCAATAAAGTTTTTTTTTGATTTAGATGGTCTGCATATTTTTCTTTTTGTGCCGATTTTAGGATGAGTGGCGTGGGTGAGTTAAGAGTAGAGAGACCGACACCCACACCCCGTGCGAAAACGATTTCTTTTGGTACAAGAATTCATTTTTTCTTATTTCATTGTTTTGTCACCTGATATTTTTTATTTAAGAAAAACAAAATATATCACAAGGCGCAGCACGAACAGCTCTTCAATGTTCAACGTAAAGCTGATTTGAATTGTATAATTCTTATTGTGAAGAAAAGCAAAATTGTGTGCGACCAATATTCGCTGTCTTGAATAAATACTTTTCATACAAAGACAAATCTTTTTTTCTTATCTTATATATTAAATAAACTATTCTTTGTCAAGTGTAAAGCTTTTCGCGCTGCATCTTGTGGGATCTTTTTTTTCAATAGAACGTATTAAGTGATTGAAAATTGAAATGCGAAACGTAGCCATTAATCTGCCTCACCTTTTAGTTAATTTTAGATAAAAGCAGTTCTTATCGAAGTGTTACTCTTTTTTTATTAGATGAATAATGATCAAATAGTGTAGAAATGCAGAGCTTTGTTTTTACTATCAGTCTATACAAAAAGAAAAGTTCTACGATCATTCTATAAGAAATTGGTATAGCTTCATAAAGACTTTTGATACACCCTAAGTGCAATTACATTTTTTTTAACTTTCCCCCCCCCCTAAATATCAATACCTATAGTGCGACCTCAGATCTTCTTTTTCTCACATTCCTTAATGTATCTCTCGCTACCGCAAAAATTTCAGCTTTATAACTCATCGTCCGGTTGAGATAGAAGAGGAAAAAATAGGCAAACAAGAAGTTTTGTGCAGAATTCAATTCTCTATCTATCCATCTATGTGACTCAATTTTGATATTTTTTGTTCTATTTGACGAAAACAGATTTACAGACGAATTGTAGAATCAGTTTAAAACGATCCTAGAGAGAACAAGGAACATACTTTTGAGAAAATCAAAACCAGTAAAAATAGAGCGTAAAAAATACTACAAAACTATCTAAAAATAGTTATGGTAAATTTTTTTAATTATGCCAAGAGACCAAAAAGCTTTAATTACATACTAACTGTAGATCTAGTTTTTTAGAATTCTTTTGCCTTTTACTCCTCAATAACTGCAAAAAAAATTAGTTTGACTGTCATAGAAAGATGCAGCGCGAAAAACAACAAGAATACTGTCAACTAGTTCTCTGTTTCGCTTACTTTTAGGGAAAATTTTACGATATACCTCAGGATGTAGCCCCAATTTTTCTTGTAGACTTAGTTTGTTTTGTGGATCCGATTTTGTTTATATATTTTTAAACTAGTTTCGACGGAAAGCATTACTATGATAGACCTTTCGACTCATGAACACGCGCTGAGCCTGATTCATTTCTTTTTAGGCTATTTCTAGCAGATCATCAGATTTTGGGGCTAAAGTCTTAATTCATATGCTTTTTTAAAGCTATATCAAAATGTGATACTTCTTTTAAAATTATCAAGAGCCGGAGCTTTGTGTCGTAGCTTTATAAGTTCTCTTAGTGAAATCTACAACAAGTAAAAACATTGTTTATGGGAGAACCATACATGAGCTTTCAACGCATATGCGGCGCAATTTCTTTTAAAAACTTCTTTATTAAAATCGCAAAGTTAATGTTACAATATCTCGAGAAGGACGAATGGGCAGCACGGAGATTTTTCCTACAGATTCACTGTGATAGGAAACAAAACGTATAAATCGGATTTTCTCTGACAGAAACTTCGTTTTTTTCACAATCATACAAAAAAATTACGATTCATTGATATATTTAATGCGATGCGAAGGAAAGCAAAGCATTTGTGTAGTACATAGCGAGTTTTCTTCCTTTTTTTAATGCGAGGTATGGATATCGGTGAAAAATAGATGTAATACCAACACTTGCACCCACACTCTCGAAAGAAAATTCTTACACTATAAAATGACATATTATTCTGATGTATTTATAAATATTTCTTTTAGAAGTAGTCTACATTACAACAAACAATGGCAAACAACAAATCAATAACATCTATTCGAACCACTACACAAGCTGATACTAAACGTGTATCAAACTTCTCCAAGGATACAGCTGAAAATCGGCGACGTATTAATATGCAAAGAATGCAAGATGTCCTCCTCATTTGGTTGGACGACAATATTAATGAAAATGATGCTGATTGTAATAATACAATCAAACTATTGAAGCGTGTAGTTAGCAACGTAAACACGTTTACAGATGGTGAAGAATGTGTGGACTTTATTCAAACCATTACCAACAACAAAATATGTATGATTGTATCTGGTGAACTTGGAAAACATATTGTGCCTCATGTACATGACATGTTCCAAGTAGACACCATTTTGATTTTTTGTAACATTCAAGAATGGCATAAACAATGGGTCAAAGAATGGCCTAAAATAAAAGGAGTCTTTACAAATATAACATCAATCTGTGAAGCTCTTAAACGAACTGCTCATCAATGTGAGGAAAATGCTATCTCAATCAGCTTTGTGGCACCAAACACGAAATTCGATCAATTAGATCCATCATTTATGTACACTCAGATCTTGAAAGAGATTCTATTAACCATTAAGTTCGAAAATAAACATATTAAAGAATTTATTACGTATTGTCGTGAAACCTTTGCCGAAAATGAGCATGATTTACACAATATTGAAAAATTGGAACGTGACTATCATAATCATATACCTATTTGGTGGTATACTTATGAATGTTTTTTATATCGTACGCTCAATTGTGCATTAAGGTTAATGGACGTTGATATTATTCTTCGAATGGGGTTCTTTATGAATGATCTACATCGTGATATTCAACGACTCCATTCGGAACAATTTCATGGTGAACAATCTAATAAAACATTTACAGTTTATCGTGGACAATGCCTTTCAAAAGAAGCATTTACTGGAATGACAAAAACTAAATGTGGACTTCTTTCATTTAATAACTTTTTATCGACTAGTAAAGACCGTGATGTTTCTCTCTTATTTGCACTACAAGCTGCTACAAATCCTGATCTTGTTGGAATTTTATTTGTTATATCAATTAATCCTACTCATTCAACAACTCCATTTGCTTGTGTTAGCGATGTTAGTCATTTTCAAATAGAAGATGAAGTTCTCTTCTCTATGCATACCATTTTTCGAATTGGAGATATTAAACCAATGAAAGAAAACGAACATGTTTATGAAGTGAATTTAACATTGACTAATGACAACGACCAAGATCTTCGAACTCTTACTGATCGCATCCGACAAGAGACCTTTGCAGATGAAAAAGGATGGTATAGATTGGAATTCTTACTGATTAAAATGGGTCAGTACAAAAAGGCTCAAGAAGTTTATGAAATGTTACTTCATCAACATACGAATGAAAGTGACAAGGCACCTATTTATCATCAACTAGGTCGAATCAAATATAATGAAGGAGAATATCAAGAAGCACTCTGTTATTATGAAAAAGCCCTTGTAGTTCGGCAACAATCACTTACTCTCAATCATCCTGATGTGGGAGATTCCTATAACAACATCGGTGGTGTGTCTACAGCAAGGGTGATTATCTAAAAGCACTTTCATATTATGAAAAAGCCCTTGCGATTCGACAACAATCACTTCCTTCCAATCATCCTGATTTAGGTGGTTCCTATAACGATATTGGTATTGTATGTTACTGCATGGGCAATTATTCAACAGCACTTTCTTATCTTCAAAAAGCCCTTGCAATTTGGCAACAATCACTTCCTTCCAATCACCCATACTTGAGTACTTCCTATAACAACATCGGTAATATGTATTACAGGATGGATGATTATCCAAAAGCACTTTCTTATCATGAAAAAGTCCTTGCAACTTGGCAACAATCACTTCCTCCCAATCATCCTGATTTGGCTCTGCCCTACGACAACATTGGTGAGGTGTATAATAGCATGGGTGATTATTCACAAGCACTTTCTTATTATGAAAAAGCCCTTGAAATTCGACGACAATTACTTTCTTCCAATCATCCTGACTTCGCTATGTCCTATAATTACATCGGTGGGGCGTATTCCAAAGTGGGTGATTATGCAAAAGCACTTTCTTACTATGAAAAAGCCTTTGCAATCAAAGAACAATCGCTTCCTTCCAATCATCCTGACTTCGCTATGTGTTATAATAACATCGGTGTGGTGTATGAAAATATGGGAGACTATTCAAAAGCTCATTCATTTTATGAATGTGCTGTACAGACTGGAGAACAACCGTTACCAGCAAATCACCCTGATCTTGAACAGTGGAGAAAAAACCTCGAAAATATAAAAAAGAAATTATAATTTCTTTTTTTATTTTTTTTTGAAAGTAAAATACAACTGATGAAAAAGGAAATATGTCTATTGAAACTCTGTTCTTGTCGAGAAAACAATATGAGCAGTAGCACACACCGTTAAGACAAACAACACATATTGAAAGATATATATATTGTAGAAAAGACCTTCACGGTTACATTATTATATGTGACCAAGTAGAGTTTCATTGTGTTAGATAAGAAAGAAAGATACTCAACAGAAACATAGAAGAATAGAAAGAGGGTGTGGGAGTTGGTATTACATCTACTTTTCGCTCACACCTACACCCACATCCAAGTGCACATCATATTATTGCTGATCAGAATAAGACAGGATGTGGGTGTGGGTGCTAGTAATGAATGAGCAGAATGTACACACCTACACCTTCACGAAAAAAAACCTTTTGTTTCGAAAAATGGTATAATTATACTTATAACTATTGAAAATAGATAACAGTGCGACATTTTATACAAGTGTGCTTGATAATACTGCGAAGTTTATTCGATATAAATTTTCATGCTCATTAATGAGATTCTCTTAAACAATCAGTTTAAAACTCTTTAATTTTTCGACACAGTTAAGTTTTTCTTTGCCAGCTTCGGACAGATTGCAGTTGGCCATCTCGAGTAGTTGAAGAGTTCGATTGTTTTCGAGCATAAAAACGAGATAATCAACACTTGCATCAGTCACCAACTTGTTATCGTTGAGATACAATTGTTCGAGACTAGTGTTGCGATGCATAAGTGTATCGGCCAACATCTGAATACCTTGATCGCCTATCTGATTCGTATCAAGCCATAGATGAGTCAATGTCTTATTGGTCTCAAGCATCCTAGCAAAATGCTCAGCACCTTGATCTGTAGTATTATTATCGGAGAAATTAAGCAATTTCAAAGTTGTATTGGCTGTTGAGAGTGCGTCTGTTAGGGCATACACACCTTCATCAAGTATATCATTTCCTCTAAGATCTAGTATTAACAATGTTGTATTGCTTTGAAGTGATTCAGCTAGAAGGAATATTCCTTCTGTAGTAATCTCATTCGCCCTTAGTTCTAATTTTGTGCATTGTTTGTAAATGAGACCTTGCACAATGACAATGTTCATATCACGATCGCTTAATGGAATCTGAGATAAGGATAATTTCGAACGATGTTCACATTTGGCAATCCAGTTTTGAAGTTGATAATTATGATATGCATCACCTTTTAAAAAAGATCTCATTAGACAAATACATTTTGTTGTTCAAAGATCAACTATTCGAAATAATTATTGCCTAAAGCCGCCCCCTATCAATCTGATATTTTCAGTGCTTGTCTAACACACGATCGAAGCTTCCACATCTTTTTCAGGAGTTGCAGATGTACAAATAATCGAATTTGCGGTAGTATGAACGTTTTACTTACGATTTATATTCTCCCATAGTTGATCCATCTCATCTTCATGCTTATAGCCCCATTCATTGATTACGGACATCTCAGAATTTTGATCTTGCTCTTCGTTTTGAAGCTCATGGATATCGGTCGTATGATTCACAATCTGTTCTTGCAGTTGTCGCACTTGATTTTGAAGAGTGGTGATCTGTGTTGTTTGTTGCAGTAGTTGTTCTCTAAGTTGCCGATTTTCGGCGATAAATTCCTCGAGAACCGACCGAAGACTATGAAAAACGCAGGAAGTCAAATGAATGCTAAGTTGATCTTGAGGTCCCATCCAAGGACACTTGCGATCAGCTGCAGAACAAATAACATTACGTTTTGGACATGATTTTTTGAAATGATCATTAAAGTTCTCTCGTTGCACATCTTTCTGTCCACAACGAGAACATGTTACACGAAGTCGATCAAGCATATTACGCACAGTGCGATTAGCTTGCACTAGACCATTGATTGGCACGTATTGTCGACATGTCGGACATGATGCTTCTGTGTTTCTAATCCAATGTGTGATACATGCGTGACAAAATGTATGATCACACGGAGTACAACAGGGATCCTCGAAAGGAGACTTGCAAATGATACAAATTAGCTCGGGATCAATGCATGTTTCGTTTGTGTACTCGAATTTACAGTTATTTGCCATGTTGTTTGAAAAAAGAAAATATCTACAAAGAGTCGAAATGCGTCACACACGGAAACATCGAAAGCGAAGAGGTAAACGTAGCGGAAGACGTTAATGTGAAAACAAGAGAAAAGTAAGAAAAATATGAAATACTTTTCATAGAATCATAATTCATGTTAATTTCGACGTACAGACATCCGGCATGTGGTAGAAGCAAATATTTACTCTTTTCTTTCTGTTCTTTTTCTAACAATTTTTTATTTCTGACGTCATATTTATTGCTTCTAAGAAGAACATGAATCACTTCTTTTTGCAGCGTGTTGGAAATTTCCAAGCACATTATTGTTATCGACTTTGGACACATTTAACATCTTGAGGATGTGAGTGTCTATGATCTGATTTATTGATCAGTGAGTGTAGCCTGAATTCTTTTTAACATGAACTCCGTGGACATATTTACTGTTTCGACGAATGACAGTTTTTTTTGATTAATATACCTAACGAGTCCTTCTGACACGTATTTGCAATAGGTAATTATATGACAGAGGGTGCAACAAGCATCATAGAAACAAGTAATTTGTAGGTGTCTGTCTGATGAATAACTGTCTAGTGATTGGATGCCCTAGATTCCTTTCAGTATTTCGTAGTTTTTGTATACAAATGTTTCCTTAATCTTCGAAAAGAATATTACAAAAGAAATTTATGCCATACAGAAATGAAGAAAAAATGCAGTTAAACGATGATTTTAATGAAATTTAATATATGAGAAATACAATAACAATAGGATTTTCGACCTTTTCAAGCTGATTATAGCGGTCATCATCAGTAAGATAACAACAAAAATAAGAATAAATACACAAGATATATTACGAAATAATAGACTAATACCTAATGTTAACGTTGTAATATATTATCATAATAATATTTATGTTACTATCAAGTTATTTTTCTTAGTATTGACTTATTCATATGCGGTAATCTTTTAAAACTTGAGTATTATTTATATTGGATTGATGTTTCGTATTGATATTTATGAAAAGCAACTTATATTATCTTATTCTTACATGCATCTCTACTTCCGAATTCGTAAATATGTAAATACCCAAGATTTAAAAAAAGAAAAATTCATTTGAAATGATTGTTGGTACTTTCTCTTTAGAAAAAAATGTCATTAATCTTATCTTTCTACATAGTGTTTTGATATTTTTAATTACTAAGAGGGTAATCGATACTCACGTTTCTTATCTCTTGCGACATAATTCAATTTTGTAATCGTATTTAAACCTTATGATTTTATTGACTTGAGAATAAAAAACAATTTGAATGCAGTATATATCAAAGTATTATAATCGATTAAGTGAAGAAATGCACAATGATATTTCTACTGGTCAATCACAAATCAAAACTATTCGTCAATTGCTTATAATTTTACTTTATATTAATTTGGTGAGTTATTGTTTAATACTCAAAATATTGACATTATACTCTGTTCGATTCTTTATACGATAATAATTTGAACGATTTATTTTAGTTTTGTTTGTCTATTAATATTTTATTTTCTAGGGATATTCTGTGCTTATTTTTATAACAGCTGTTATTGGTTTAACAATTCGTGATGAATTTATTCAGAGAGAAGAAAAGTTTCAAATCACCGAGGCCATTATTTTATTTTTATACAATGGCTTTGGACTTCTTTTCATATATAAGTCTCATCGAACAGGTTTACGTGTGGTAGGCTGATTCGATATAAATAATTATTTATTGATCAAAGTACTCCATGTTTTATTGTTTAGATCGTTTGGATCGGTATCATTTTGGTGACTATTGCTCCATTCATTATTGGTATCTATGAGTACATTCGTATCCGAGCCTACTATTATTTCCATAAAAATTTGTTCGCGGTAATATATATTTACGGAAGTTATTTGTTAAGTATCTGGTTTCATATATTTACTATAATGGTGAGTTATTTTTCTCATTGTATTTTGGTTATTTTCATTATTCTTTTAACAGATTCTTATAATTAAATTTACTTTCCAACTACTACGACTTACCAATACAAATCAAACTTTGTAATCAAAAAATACAATTTATATATTTATTTTTTTGTAATTGTTCATAATATGATTTCCTGTTCTAAACACGATTCAGTAAATAAATTCTCTTAATAATATTCAAGAAAATACTATAAATACTTAACTTTAATTTGGATGTGTATAAGAATGAGTATCACAAAGATTATGATACTTTGAAAAAAAAACGATAACTATACTTATATTCACGATTTCATTGTCTAAGCATAATCAACATAGGGTGAAGGTGAAGATTAATCTTTTCTTTATTCACACCTACCCTCAAGATTTGACTGATTAAAATTAGATTAGACCTAGTTTTTTAGGCCATCTGAAGCGTTCCTTGAGTAAAAACAAAATCGATAATATTTCTCACCTTCACCCACACCCTCTATATCTATCTTATTAGTACGCTGGTCAATCGTTTAACCAATATTTTTTTCTAATATATTCTGTGTTTATATACATCTTTGCTGAATAAAACTTTATCTCACAATGAATTAAATGAAATTACACGTGTAAAAATAGGAAGAAAAATAATGTCGATCACATATTCTAGTGTAATTATGGAGAGAAATCTTTGATTATTTTCATTTAAATGATCTATGGTATTCATTTCATGGTTTAAATCAACATATTAATGCAATTACAGATCAAACAATAGTACATTTAAATTTCGAACAACAAGATAGTTATGATTATTTCGTAGATAATATTTTACCATCGATAAATATTACTAATATTCGATCATTAAAATTACAAGATGCTTTTAAAATACATCACTTTTTTTCGGTTTATTCACTCAAGTCATTAGAACAAATTCAATTCTTATCATTAAATTTCAGGTATTATGATGATGAAACACCATTTCAATTTTGGAATCAACTTTCATCTTTAAAATATTTACAATCATTAAAGATTATACATCATCAACGATTTTGGTCTGATTCTAATTATGAAGAAAAAAACTTGATTTTTTATTCAATATTCAGTAAAAATTGTTGTCCCTCATTAAAACCATTAATTGTCAGAACAAATGGTCTTTGTAATAGATCTACGATTCCTTCTCTAATTCCAACATCAGCAGCACTTCATATCGAATATTTATCAATCGATGTGTCAACTTTTGAAGAATGGTCCAAATTATTTTTTGTTCTACAACGTCTGAAATATTTTCAGATCACATTTATGATAAACAGTGGAAAGACATGATGGTTTTAACACCAATAATGCCTAATTGCATTCGTCTTCATTTAAATTTACCACCCCATATGTCTTTTAAACATGTCAAATATCTATTAAGACAAACACCAGATTTACAATATTTAATTTTATCTGGTCAAAAACATTTACTTAAAGCAAAACGATGGGAAAAGTTATTATCATTAAATTGTTCAAGATTATTGAAATTTAAATTCACATGTGCTAATTATATTTATGATGAAAATTATCAATATGATTTCGGTCAATTATTGGATACGTTTGAAGAGGATTGTGAGACATCATTCTGGATGGAACGAAATATTACAACCTCGTATCTTAAGATACCTTTTTCAGATGATGATTATCGTCGTGATATTGTAGTGAAATATCATGTGAACAAAGTAAGTATTATATACATATTAATCAATGACTAATATTAGTCTTGAGTTTTAGACAAAACAATCAATTGAATAGATGCGAACACACAACATTTATTAATGCAAATGTAACAGACTAGAAATTGTAAAAAAAAATAAAATTAATGAAATTTAGTGTTGTACTATTATTTTTCTCTATCTATAAATAAATCCAGTTGTCCCGTGACATATAGTGCATTCGTAATCGTGCTTTTCGAACGTACTTTTTATAATAAGAAAAGGATAAATATAAAATCGTATTATATTTTACTTACTCACATGTAGATTTGTGTAAGCATAGTCGAGTATGTTTATCGCCATAATTTTACTTACGATTCTTATTTGTTTGATTACAATTTATTTATACAAAATAAAATCTTCCTATGATTATTTTGTACGTCGAAATATTCCTGGTCCATCACCTCAATTCTTTTTTGGTCATTATTTAACATTATGGAATGTACCATTTTATTCACGTCAAATTCAAAAATGGACTCAACAGTATGGTAATATTTATGGTATATTTGAAGGAATACGTCCAGTATATGTTGTATCTGATGTTGATTTTTTGCAAGAAGTTTTTGTTAAACAATTTTCATCATTTCATTCACGTCGACGACCGTTTATCACACGTAATTTCAAAGGTAATCGAGGACATTTATTCTCTGCTCAAGCTGATCAATGGCGACGTCAACGGCATGTTATCAATCCAACATTTTCAGCAGCAAAATTAAAAACGATGACACCATTAATAAATCAATGCATTGAATCATTCATGAGTAAAGTAAATGATATGAATGGTGCAGAATTTAATATCTATACCTTGTACAAACGCATGACTATGGATGTTATATGTGAGTATAAAAATATTTTTAGCCCGTTTTTTTCTGAAACGATTAGATTAATTTGTAGGTCGTTGTGCATTTGGTATTGATACAGATATGCAAAATGATATAGACAATATTTATATGAAAAAATCGATTGCTTGCTTTGAAATTGATATTGAAAAATTATTCATTGTGAAATTATCGAATGTAATGCCATTTCTTATTCCATTATTAAGCCAAATTTTTAGATTTAGTCTTCTTATGACTAGAATAAAGCAAAAATGGTTATCGAATAACGCATCTAAAGATGATGATAAGCCTGCAATATGGCTCATCGGACGATTAGAAGAAGTTCTAAAGAAAAGATTGACATCTGAAACTAAACGTACAGATTTACTCCAATTAATGTTAGATGCAGCAACAGAAGATGAAATTAAGGTGAGATTATATTAAAAAGAAATCCTATATGTTTTCTTTTCCAACGGTTTAATATTCTTCTACAGGATGATACATCAGAAGCATTATCATCGAAAAAATTACACTATAATGAAGTTGTTCTTAATACTTTCTTATTTATGCTTGCTGGCTTTGAAACAACTTCGAATACTTTAGCATTTGCAACGTCTGCTTTGGCAACAACACCTCATGTTCAGAACAAGCTACAAATGGAAATCGATGAAATATGGAATGATGATATTGATAATCTTGATTATGATATTATAGCTAACATGACATATTTGGATATGTTTGTAAAAGAAGTTCTTCGAATGTATGGTATATCAACTCAGGCAATTACTCGAGAAAGTAATGCATCAGTGAACATTTGTGGTCATCAGATTGAAAAAGGTGAGGGAGAATGATAATGGCGTTGTTCTCGTTTAGAAATAATAAAATAATCTTTGTTTTAGGTTGTGTGATTTTACCAGATGTTTATTCAGTTCATTATGATACTGATATTTGGGGTCCACAAGATCCAAAATTATTTGATCCTGAACGACACTCTGTAAAACGTCATCCTCTTGCCTATCTGGCCTTTGGTATGGGACCTCGCAATTGTGTAGGAATGCGGTTTGCTCTGATGGAATTAAAAATGTGTTTAGTACGTCTATTACGTTCATACACAGTTCATCCTGGTGAGAAATTTCAAGAAGGCATGACTCTAACGGAAAAATTTGTTATTACGCCAGAAGCTATCAATATTCGTTTGGAAAATAGACATCTATAGATCTTTGAATATGTTTCTATTTCTTGTGTATCAAAAATAAAAAGTCTCAAGACGGCTTAGAGGCAACCAACTAGTGATGATGTTGAATTTTCAAAGCTATAGGATTGTTAAGTAACTCTACAGAAGATATGTTATTATCTGTGACAGAATCATCATTTTAGTCAGAGCAGTCCGCTGGACTATTGTGAAATATAAATCGAAGAACGGGTAATGTACTTGTAGCTACATAAGTGTACGAAAACTGATACGAAGTAATCGCTCCACTTTGAATTAAGAAACTACTTGTGCCTCTTTTTGCACATGAAGATGCTGCAATGTATCTACATGTAAAATTTACTTCATATTTTTAATCACTTAACGGTTGTCGTTGAAGTTACAATAATAAAAAAATGATCATACGTTAACTGCTTCAGAGAAGAGAGCGTGATAATTAATGTGCTTGTGGCCGAGGTGGAAGTCATTTGTGATGTAATTAAAATTGGTTAGATTTTGCTTGATAATGCCTTCATAGAATAGTACATTCCTAGAAGTTGAAGTTGTTTTTGATGTTGTACCTATTAATAGTTATGCACATTTAATAAGTATCAGATTTTCTCGATTTTAAAGAATTTGGAAGAGACATGATGTACATGGATGAGAGAGGTGATTTTTCTTATGCACTTGTCGTGATGGTGGTCGTCTGCGTTATGGATGATGATGTTGTTGTCGCAGCTGTAAGTAATGGAATAAAGAATAAGTTCTTTTATTAACATAGTAATTCTACTTACTTGTTACTGTAGTTAATAACGTAGTTGTTTGTACATTTTTTTGCTAATTCATAATACACAGATAAGTAACGCATGAGAAGAAATGTAGAGCACTCACATAGATCCAACTCAAGTAAAGCAGTTGCAAGTCCACACAACAGAAGGATACCTATCATACTTAGATAAAGTAAGCAACAAATTGGATGGAATATACATGCTCTACATATTTGATAAATACAATAAAAATAGAAAGTTCATCAAATTACTGTTTATTTCGTCTTCTTTTTAATTCTTCATCAGCATTCATCAATTAGAGATTACAATATAAAAATACTTTCTACTCAAAAGACAGAAGACTCACCGATCTAGGTAGAGGTTTTGTGTTCTTGTTGGAATGAACCGATGCTATAGAAGAGATATTTAAATGTAAAATGTCAATTATGTTAAGATCACTAATATCAGTACACATACCCTAGGTGATCTTGCGTTGACGATGATATTCCATCATTTTGTGGCCAGCTTTTTTCAGTATCGAGCTTTACATTCTTCGACTAGATAATATGTAATATAAAATCAATCAATTAATTCTTATTCAATATACAAAAAACTGACCAATGCAAATGAAGGATTTATAATAGTTTGTCTAGGAATGAATGAAATTCTTTTTGGATTGACGTGAAGCCAAAAAGGTACGTGGTAATGGTATATCTTGGTCGTCCCTTTTGATATATGACAATATATGAATGAATTTTGAATTAAAACTACACAAAATTGAAGAAAGAAGTCAACTAAAATAAGTGCATAATACCGTATAAGGTAAACAGAAATGTTATAAAGAAAGAACTGATGATTTTATAATGAAATAAAATTTAGCAACACGGAATGAATTCGTGAATTTTAATAACGTCAAATCTGTATCATTAATCGATATTTATTAGGTACTAGTTCGTATTCTAAAAATCAAAGTTATCACTTCTTTTCAAATGTAAATATGTAAAAAATAGTTTCGAAACAAATCGATGCAATTTCTATTGTGTAAAATATTTCTCGCCTGAATTCTATGGTATCATGTACTTTTTTATTCATATATTCTCTCAACGATAGACGTTTTACTGATAAAAATATAATTAATTTTCTTTTTTTTCTCTTCGAATCGAAGTTGATTTGTACATTTTTATTAAACCTCTATTTAACTCGATATGACGTAACTGTAAGATAATCATTATGGTATGAACATATTTTATTGAATTTAATAAGAAAAAAACATGAATATAGAAAGTGACTTTTTGTAAATTTTTAATTATAATAGTAACCAGTTGTTTGATAAGGATTATATCCTGCATGATTATATCCAGCATGTTGATAATATGGTTGTTGATAATAATTATAAGATCCATCTTTTGGATGAACAGCCCTTTTCATTTTGTGTCCAAGTGAGAAAATAATCTTAGTCAAAATACTGCCTGCAACTATACCACCAGCAAGAATACCGATCTGTGCTAATATATGCTCCATACCGTTTCAAAATAATCAAGAAAAATGACGTCTCTTTTATATATTCTCAACGTATTGAAATTAGCGTCAATCATCCATAGCAAACATCGCATATGACTGACTATACTCGATAAACGAGGAAGAGCAAAAAATATGATAATGTCATATTTTTTTTAACAAGCATAATATTACAAATCATTAATAACACAAAGACGAAAAAAAACGTGATTTTTGCCAGATAGACTCTGTAATTACATTGCACGTTTTAATACATCGATATATATGGTCGATCTGATCTAGTCCTCAGGCATTGTATAGTAAAGTATATTGAAAATAGCCAATCAACATTAGTTATAGATTATGATAAACTGAAAAATATATCATCCTAAAATTAAAAAAAAAGCGTTCAATTCTTTCATAAAAGTATTATTGCTTGTTTAGACTAGAGGTCGCCAACTGTTTTGAATTTGTTTTCTATCTACGATATCTGTTATCCATGTTTGCATAGAAGTTTATGTTTCCAAGTGTTGCAAAATATCGTCAAACACCATCAACATTTTGCTTTCTTATTCAATGAATTTTTAAAAATATTTATATAATTATCAATCTTATACCTCCATATCATTGCTTTCAGTTATGCATATGATTTTGCTAATATATCATTGCAATGATGTAAATTTCGACAAGCAATTATGATGATGATAGGTACCACATCACTTATTTGCACATGTTTATGTACTATTGATCAATACTTAGTTACATTATCCAATGTATCATTACGTTATGTGAGTCGAATAAAAATATCTTATCGAATTGTTACTGTCGTGACCATCATTTAGTGTCTTCATTCAAATCTATCAATAGTAAATACATGTATTAGTATGAATTCTACACTTACTACTTATATTCCGATAGTTTGTTTTCGTTGAACAACAGGGCGATCGATAATTGATGAAAATGACATTTTCAGAAATGCTTTTTTATCGATTTAAAAAAGACTCCATTTTCATATATTCTCTGAAATAGATGTTTTTCCTCTCATAGATTCGTTTTAAAGTACATTGACGCGAATAACAATTGATATTATTCTTTCTATACTCGCAGATATTAATAACGAGAGAAAGATGTCTTTTTCGATTCATTCCAAAAAACATGAAGAAAAATAAGTTTTATCGCTTTTGTTTAGTCATTAATAGAAAAATTATTTATTATGAAAAAAAAAGATTTTGAAGTAGAAATAAACAAATACTAGTGTTCTATATCCTCAGTTCATGTGAAGGTCAAAATATATTTAACATTTTATTCTGAATTATATGAGATTGATTGAGCAAAACCTATTCGATTGTTGACGATATCAAAGATTGAATAATATCGACGAAGAAAATAATCACCCAAGATCCATATACTATTATTAAAAGAATCTTTTGAATCTGATGGAGTGAAAACACTATAGCATATGTAACTGGTTGAGTTATCGTAATTAGTTGAGTTATCATAATTGGTTGAGTTATTGTAATTGGTTGAGTCATCATAATAAACCACTAGATATTGGGAAGGTTTTAATGTAAAAATTACGCCAGCAATGTTGAAAGTTACATTGGGAAGTGATGAAAGTGAATTTATTGAACAATTGAGAGTATACTAAAAGAAATTAAATATTGAGATGATATTTTGTAGGCAGAACAACAGATAAAGCTATACCATGTTAGCAGATGAATCATAAGTGGCACCTAAAGCACCATTTAATGCTTCCACTTGTGTTGCAGGTCCAGTGATGAATGTTGTGCCAGTATCAGCAATAGCATACAATGATGAATTTATCAGAGTAGATCCAACACTCACACTATGAATGTTCATACAATCAATCGTGAATAAAAAAAATTCGTTTTATTATAGGATTACCTTGTCATTTGAAATTCCCAATATCCTGTTAAAACTAAAGGAACATAAGTAATATCACCGGTGAATTTACTAGAATCGATACCACCAAATATGAGTTCGCTACCGATGATGGCATTTGTATCACTAAAGAAAAGAAACTAAACATCAACGATTGGTATAGGTTGATAATTGTAGTTACGGGTTCAAATAGAATGAAAAGATTGGTTCTGGTATTAGACTTTGATTCCACATATTGTAGAAAAGTGGTGTATTACCATAGTTTGCCAAAGTTGGATAACCAAGACCGAGTATACCATCATATAGAACATTATCCATACCAGTAATAGATATACATTCGGCAAATCGTTGTCCTTGAACAGTAATGCCATTGATCTAAACAGTAATTAATTAATATCAATCGAACTGACCGTTGCTAGCTTACCGTTACAGTATCAATACTAATATAACCACTGACAAAAGAACCATCTGCATATGTAAGGAAAAAGGGATTTCCATTAAGTATATATGTTTGAGAGTCAGCTGCTATATACTTATGAAGACGTGCTAAAAATCAAATAAAATTTTCTTCTGAATATATAAATACAAACAACATACTGCAATTGGAAGAACATCGACTTGATGGTACCCAGAGGTCAGATGAACCTGTATCGAAATTGACAAGAAATGTTTGAGCAGGTGTACCAATGGAGATATTTCCCATAAAATACATCTATCAGTGTAAAAAGTCATTAAATTGAATATCAGAATCATCTGATTTAGTGAAACTTACGTTATCTTCATTGACTAAACGTTCGTAAACCGAAGATTTCTCAACAGTTATGTTGCCAAAAGTACGCGATGACATTTGACATATCGTTTGATTTGTTATCGATAATGTACAGTTTGCTGTTCTATACAAATGTGGTTGAATTCGATGCATATGAATTCTAAAAATTTAGATATGCATCATATTATGCTATATATGGCTTTGACATACCGAAACAGATCACCATTAATTATTTCAAAATAGAAGATAATCATGAGAAATCTTGAAATTATCATAGTTATTCGTTTTGGAATCATTTTCTTGCTTGCTTAAATGTATGCAATATGGAATGAGGGTTCATCGTAAAAGTTAAGGCCTTTAAATAGGTATGATGATGACGATTTGACAAGGACAAAAAAGTTATTTATCAATCATCTTGTTTATATGAAAATATGAATGTACTTCTCAATATTGGTATAGATAACGTCTTTGATCGATACATCATGACTCAAAGTAGAGAAACGCCTTCATAAACGGTAACTGTACTAATGAAATGTATGTCTAAACTAGTAAACAACACAACAACAATGAGTCAATCGTCGCAGTTACCTTAACTGACAACGCTCAATAACATAAAAGTAGACCTTGATTCAGACAATTAACTTTCTTTTCTTTACTTCATTGTGAAGTAAAAAAGAAGGGATTTTTCGAGGGTGGGTGTGTGGGTGAGGACGAATCTTTTCTTTACCTAAACCTACGCCCACACCCACACACTCAAGTATATTTTAATTTTTAATAAAACCCATCTAGAGATTATAATACAATATGCATAATGCAGGCTTTATTTCGAAGTACCCGTTCAATTCTTTTTTTTGTTAGTATGTTATTTGATTTTGATTTTAGAAAATTCATGTTAGAGAGACATAAAAGTAGACATCTTGTGCCGGTTTTTTTTATGAAAAAATGCAACTTTAGTACATGTTAGCGTTTGTCCTTCTTCTCTTCTCATTTTCAATATGAACTCATATTGAAGATTATGATAGACTTTTAAAATTTTGTGAATAAATTCATCAAACGTCCGATGAATTAGCTAATACTGTTTGATAAACCATAAAATCCTTGAAAAAAAATTATTAATGAAAAATAGAGTCCTCTATATTGAATATTTATTAACCTTTTTCTATTGGATACACATGACATCATTTCATGAGTAATGTGTAGGCGATATAACGTAAATACTCATGACGAATATTTGACGCAAATCGATCTTTTCAACCAGTTAGTTTCGCAAAATGTAATAAGAATAACAAAACGAAAATAATCAAGACATAAACAAGATTTCATATATGTGCACTAGTTACAAAATGATACCGAACAAATTTGATAGCTGCAAAACATGATTATAGGACTAAAATCAAATAGACGAATAAATTTATTCTATTTGAGATTAATTCAATAATCTAATTCAAACGAAAAATAATACGAGAAAACGTAATTAGATTAGTTTTTATAAGGTATCTAACTTTTGTTTTATTTTCGAATATATATATATTCTGATTTATAACTTTGTTAATATGTATAAATATGAATTAAAATTATCGAAGTTTTAAAATAGAATATGATTAATATTATTTTCATTTTTTTTAGGATTGCAATAAATCTTTATAATTAATAGTATATTTATTAACTAACTTCACTGATAAATTGCATACAAAATGAATAATCCTGATTTAGAAAATCATAAATATAAATATTTAACAACTCCATTTATTTAATCAACTTCAGTTTTTGATCAATATTAAAGCATGGAATTATATTACAGTACAAAATCATGACAAAATTTATCTTTATTATGAACAAGCAATTTTTGGCATCATATCTTTTTCTGTAGAAGATTTACAAACATATGTTCATGTTGTTTTCCATATATTTCTTATGACATCATCTACCTCCTATCGGAAATGATAGTATGCCAATTCCTTACTTGAAAAATTTCGATATTTATTACCAATCACATTTAATGAAAGTCATGTTACGAAAACTCTGTTTTATATATTACATTCTATTGAATGTTAATCATCTTGATATACTATGGCATTTATTAGTCAGAAAGAATAGCTATGATTCAAATTAAATTTATGTAAAAAAAGAGCAATAGAACTATTAAAAGTTGCTTCTTAGTAATAATTACTCATTCCTTTACATGATTGATTGATTTATAAATTCCATCCAATCTGTCTCCCACATCAATATAAATAGTATCTTAAACTGTTTTAATATCATTGTATGAATAATCTTACACATGTGCATACACACTCTCTTAGTGTTAAATCATAAACAATCAGTTATATTTTATAAATCATAACGCCTCGTGTGACCTTTTCTTTTCTCTCAAAACAACCCACAAAAACAACAGAGAAAAAAAGAAAAAAAATAGTGTTCTGTTTTCTTATCGTCATTGGTATGTGTGACGTACATGGTTGTCATACAGAAAGCAAAAAGAAAATAAAAATGTGTCATATTATAGACGTCAATTCTATCTCTATCACGATGTGATGACGGTTTTGCGCGGGAGTATTGTGCAGAACGAAAAACATGTATCGATAGACGACTTATATAAAACATCTACCGATGCTGAAGATTCAGACAGTAATATTATTGTATACAATCAATTTTATTGTCACTAGACTCACTAATTATGTGTATGGACACACCACATTTAGATAGTCAGAATTTTCAATCGAAGGGTTCAATCATTGAAACTAAAGAAGAACCATTAGACAATGCAAGATATTTGATAAGTTCATCAGAAAATAGTCCTACATCCTGTGGTGGTGATGATGATAATGATATCATCGAATTTGGTCCAATTAAAGTTAAACCACGTAAAAAACCAGCTCCTACATTAGCTACTGGTCGTCGATCAAAATATGAAACTTTAAGTCCAGAAGAAGAACAAAAACGTGATTTAAGACGAGCACGTAATCGTGCTGCTGCTGAACGTGTACGTATAAATCGTTTAACTGTTGAACAACAATTACAAGGACAAATCGATGCATTAGAACAGCAAGAAGAAAACTTATCAAGTCATGTAGATATGCTTGAACAGCATAAACTTCGTTTAGAAACACGAATTCTTACACATGATAAAATATGTTCAAATATGAATTCAATGAATATACTAGATGATTATCTACCTGCACCTACTGTAAATAATACTTCAACATTTAAACAAATGGAACAAGTATCTCAATTTGATTTTGATGAATTGTTTCCTGAATCAACTTCATCTGTACAAATGCAACAAAATAATATGTTGAATTTTCCATCAACTATAATCTCCGATGATGATTTCTATGATCCATTGATGGATTTATAGTTGTAAAACAAATGTATTAAAATTCAGTTTATTTTCTACTATGATAGTTTGTAATTATATATAATCTTTTAAAGATATAAAGCTTTTTTTATTGTTAGTGTGTTGTCATGATAAATATGAAATCAATCGGGCTTGTCGCACGATAAAAAAAACCAGACTATATTAGTCATAAAAAAAGAATGAATAATAACAATTTCGTATTTTCATTTTCAAAAGCTCGAATCAATGATTTTTTCAATTAGATTTGCTAATTTATATTTTGAAAAAAAACAGACAAGTAGAAAATGAAATAAGTTTTTTTTTGATTGACATAATTTATTATTTTCAAGAGCTTTCTTTTCGTCTCTTATTCTTCTTAAGAATTAATGTAAGCATTACTACATGTATATGTACTATGCATTCTGGTTGACAGGATAAATAGCAATCATTGTGTTTATTATTCCCAACAAACGATTTGATGACATTAAATATATTTTGTATTTATCAAGGTTTGCAAAATATATTAATATTCAATGAATGTATGTAGATGAAAATAAAATAAATTTTTATTTTGTATAATACGAATAATGTGTATTATAACTCACGAATAGGTACGTGCAAATAAAAAATTTTCATATGGAATTTATTAATATATTATATGAGTACAGATTGATAAATTTACTTTGCAATAGTACGTTATCAAATAACATTCTTTGTTTTTTCTATGACAATATTGATGATTGTAGGAATAATTCTAATAATATATATTAAATTTTATATCATGAAAAGAATGAGAAGAACAACTTGACCTATGCGATGAAATCGATCAGATTTGAAAGATTTTAGGAAGAAAAACAAAAGTCCAATTATAAATTGATTAGTATAAGATTTATTGTTAATGATATATAATCGAAAAGAAATCTCATATCTTCAGGAGGACTATGAAAACAAGATAAGAATATCTAAAATTGGAAGTTTTATATTCGACGGGCTTTATCGTGCAATAAGAAATATGTATTGCTAATGACATCTTCTTTCCATATTTTATTCTTTTTCCATCTATGAAAAAAGAAAAGTAATCAAATTTTTTCTCTACTTTACAATGGATTTCAAAAACTATAAAAAATTTATTATAATAACCCACTAGACATCTATTTGCCGTCAGTAGAGTATTACGTAGATAACAAAAAATTTGATAAAATTTCTACTAGTGATGTAACATTAGGAATAGTTCTTGTAATATTAAAATATACTATGTCTATTACATAGTTATTAGTATTAAAATGTAATCTTATGTTCTGATATTATATTATATTAAAATTATTCAGTGTTGACATATTACACATTTATTTTTAATTCTTCTTGACAAGACATTCATAACTAAACAATAGATAATTTAAGTTTGAAAGATTTTGAAATAGAATATAATTATGTTTGACCTGAAATTTTCCGAAGTCTAGTCAGACATCTTATATATTTTGGAATAGAAGAAAAAACACAATGATGACAGCTTGACATTAAATAATTCTAATGTAAATCAATATTGTAACGCATTAGATTTAGTATTAATACTGTTACTCTTATGATATTTTTAATTAAAACTATTTAATTATTTGATTCTATTTACCAATCTATAATTTAATATGTAATTATTTAGACTTATTATATTTTATACATCATATTTAGTAGACATCAACTATAAAAAGTACTTTCAAAAAATAAAATTAATTAGAATGTATTTGTTTGATGTTAATTTTATATATAGTAATAAAGTCTCGTGATACAATTTATTTATCTATCCGAACAGAAAGTCCTTAAAGTTATTTAATAATAAATCTAGTTTTTAATAAGATTTATTTATTAACTCATATAAGTTCTTTGTAGATTATTAGAATATTTTTATTCTACTCTCAAATTATTCACATCATATATTCTCTAATTTTAACATATACGCTATTCATTTATAATATTTTTCTATTTATATACGTCTGTACCGATGGTATAGACGAAATATCACATCATCAGTAATCAAAATATTCTTAGCATTAATTATTTTTAAAAATATGAAAAAAAATTCAAAGTATATAATTACTTGTTAATATAAATTTTATTAATCAATTCATCAATATTTTTAAGAAAAATATCTTCGTAAATAATAATAATACCTTGAAAAGAAATAATGACTACTTGATTTAATGAACTTCATATCATCTGTAAATTGTAATTATCACATCAGATCTCAAATCATGAGTAATTTTTTTACTGAAAAAACTGATGACCTTGATAATGTAAGAAGTCTTTCTTTTTTTTATTCTTCCTAGATTTGGAGAATATAAACAATAAATAAATACAACATTAAAAACAACAGGCAAAATTTTCTTTTTCTTCTACAATTCTGAAACAAATGATGCTTCAGAACTAAATATTGACATTGTAGGTGCTAATGATGAATGTCGACTTTGTTCATACATTAAATTTGTTTGTTTTGTTGTGATTGATAAACGCTGATTATTTAAATTCATGTCGGAATTATTATTATCTGATATTATTGTTTTCATTGGTATTTTTTGTTTTTTTGTCCGAGTAGAAATATTATTTCGAGCTTGTGGTAATGCTAAATTTCTTTTAATCGCTGTTTTTTCATGTAAAAATTGATTATCATTTGTTGATAAACAACAATAAAAAACACGTTTAAAACTTAAACGAAATATTTCACTAAGAAATGCATATACAATTGGATTTGTTGATGAATTAACAAATAAAAGAAATTGTGATATACTCGATGTTGGTACAAGTATTGAACTTGTTTGAGGTAATAGTTCACTTGTTGTTATAACTTGAAATGCCCAATATGGTGAACAACAACATATATGTACACTGATAACAGCTAAAACTAAAACAGATACTTTTCGTCGTGTACGTATTGATGTACGTGAACGACGATGTTGTTGTGATACTTGATGCTTTAATCGACGAACTATTTGTATATAAAAATATGTCATTAAACTAAGTGGTAAAACAAATGTTATTGTTGATGTATATGCAACAAATATACTATACAATACACGAGATTCTGCATAAGGAAAATTAATAGTACATTGAACTTTTGTTGGTGACGTATTTTGTATTGCTGTAAATGCAATAATAGGTAACATTAATATAAATGAAAGTATCCATGTTAATATTAAAAGTAAATTTGGATTAACACGTGAACGCCATGTAACAGATTTTGATGAATGACAAACAGCTAAATATCTATCAAATGATAATAAAGCTAAGATAATAATTGATGTAAATTGATTAACACCTTGTGTAAGAAAAAATAATTTACATACAAAACCACCGAATATCCATGCACGTGTTATAAGTGATGAAACAAAAAATGGTATACCACTTAAAAAGACAAGATCAGATAAAGCTAAATGTAATAAATATGTATTTGTAACAGTTTTTAATCGACCATAATTAAGTACAACATATATAACAAGTAAATTTCCCACAACACCAATAAACATTACAATAACCAAAAGTATAGAAAAAATTGATATAAATAAACTATTTTCAATAATTGTTGAATCAGCTATACAAATATATGAATTGTTTACAAGAATACAATTGCTATGATTATTATTCATTTTATGAACCGATAAGATTTTCCTTTTTTTTCTAAAAGAAAAATTATATCTATATAAGTATATACAAATGATGACTATATTTTTCTCTTTCTCGCTCTCTCTCTGTCTTCATATTTTCTTATGTAGGATGATGCGAAAAAAAAGAGATGAAGAAGAAATAAAAAAAAAATTTCAGTGAAAGAAAGAATAGAAAATGATAATGACAAGGAAAATATTAGTAGTTTGACATCAGAGTAATCTGAAAGGACAGCTCTTCTACCTACTAATTTTTATCAATTAATACTGTCAAAAAATATACAAATTCTCATGTTATTCTTTACGGTTCAGATCAAAGTTCTTTTCTGTTTTTTTCTTCTTGTATATGATGAAATACTGATAGATAGTTGTTCATGTTCTAATTGCATGTTATGAAAAAAAAATTTTCCTCTCTTTTTTTTTCTCTTCTATCTGAAATATATATTTTTTTTTTCATTATTATCGCACCTTTATTTTTCATAATCGTAGTTAAAAATAAAAATATGTAGATCATTAAATAGAAATCTAATATCTTTAATTTTACACCATGTATTATTCTAATGAAATAAGAATATTAATGTTGTTAAGATATCATAATCTGACAGATATTATCCTAGGAAAATTTTCTTGTCAAATCAAATGATAGAAAGTAAAAACTAACTATGAAAAATTATTTTTTTCATGGACATATATTCGTTTCTAACATCTGATATAATTGAAAAAATACTAACCTTATTGGCATGATATTCAGTCGCCCATAAACAATAAAGATCACCGTCATTAACTATTTTCTTTACATCAAATGTTCAGTTAGCTATAAACTTATGAATAATGAATAGATATGCATCTGTCTTTTTACATTCATTCTTTTGTATATATAATGTTTCAATTGGATTGTCATTAGTATCAATTGACAACTGTTTCCCTTGGTATAGTTTCATTTTTTTTTCTCAATATATATGTGGGTCGTTGCGGGCAAAGGAACATAATACGAACATTTATATTGTTTCTTTTCTATAACATCCGATCACTAACATGTTTTTTCCTGCGTCCTCATTTATTTTTTGTGGCATCAGTTGGTACTTTATATCCAATTATCAGTTGCCTGTTTATATATATATATAACAAAGAAACAGTAGCAAAAGAACACATTTTTATAATATCATTACTATATAAGTACATCTATTTAAGACACCTCTATTGAATTGATTGATTGTTCACTTTAGTTATGTATATATACATAGATTTATTTTATTTTTTGTCGTGCAAGAGAAAGAAAAACCAGTGAAACATGTACACGAAAAGCAAAGAAGAAAAAAATACTCGCGCACGCACTCAAAGAACATAAGATTATAAATAAAAAAACACTTTTTTTTGTTCTTATATATCATGTATCTGTCTTTTGTTTGTTTTTCTAAAAACTTATATTTTCTTATACGGAATCTTCTCGAGAAAAAAAAATATTATAAGAAAAAGAAAAAAAAATTGTGACTTTATTAATTCCTAGAGGAGACGTAGAAGTTTTTTTTTTCTTAATAATCTCGACTTTCATAAAATAAAATATAACTAGTTTCCGATTGACGACCAAGATCATGTGAAACACCATAAAATTCTTCAAAATTGGACGGATCAAGTCGCTATGAAAAATAATAAGAAAAAAATTAGTTATCATTTTTTCCTTTAATAAAAAAATCAATTTTTACATCAACAGTTTCATCATCAAATACAAGCCAAGAACCATCTCGTTTAACAACGGCTATATAATGTCCACGATTTGGACCAATACCACAATGAACAACAAGTGAGACAAGATCATATATTCGATCATTATTTGTACAATCTTCGGACTAAAATTTACAATATAAATATTATTTTCGAGAAAATCTTTCTTTTACCGTATTAAGTAATCGAAGTTCGAATGGAAAAACTACACGATATGATAATTTTTTATATTGTTTAAATACTTCAAAATATTTAAAACGTTTTAAATGAAGTGCTAATATCCGTGGTAATTTTTTGATTCGCATTCTTAAAAAAAAAAAAGTCATTCGTATATATATATACATGTATATTAAAAATAAATTCTACCTTTTAGTTGCTTCCTGTTTACTAGAACATGTTTCACAGTAATATTTTGATTCACCTGATAATGTTTCTATATTACTAAATACACGTAAACATGTTGTTATCGACGTATTTTCTTCAACATCAATGGATAGATCAAGAAAATTTTCATCTTTACTACTGACCTAGAAAAGATTTTAGAAAATTCAATAATTATTAAATGATATATAGAACAAAATAAAGTTCAATATTCTTTTCGCCATACGCACTAATTTACTTTTTTCCATCAATAGAATTGGAACAGACGTTATTAGCATCGTCTTTTTCTTTTACTAACTCTAATGTAATTTTAGTAAATCTAAGTCACGAAACAGGATATTCGATTTAATGATTGATGGCACAAAATTAAAGTATTATGAAGACAAAATATAAATAGAATTTATATAAAATATTAAAAAAATGTTATTAATTAAATAAGGAAATAATAAAATCAAGTCATATATTCACTAGTAAAACGATAAATAATAAATTTGTTTACTGTAGACTTAGAAACTCATGGAAATATTTTATTTAATATACATATGGGACAAATGAGTGGCGGATTTAGGGGGAAGAACGATCGCCCACCCCTGCAGAAAATCTTTTAATTTTTTACAACAAAAATGAACAAAAAAATAGGTTCACACTACTTCGATTGGACTCAAAAAATAGTTTTAAGCCAAAATCCTAGATTCGCCACTGGGACAAATAAAATCAAAACTTAATTCGATTAGTATCTCAATTTCCATGCGAATAACTATGTTGATTTTTTAATAGTAAAGTACTGAAAATCTGTTCAATTATTTGCTTTATTATTGAAAGAATAGTTTTAAAAAGTTAAAAGCAAAACTCTAATAATTTCCAGTTCATAAAATAAATTGAGGAAATTTCTAAAAAAAATCAATTATCAAATTTAAAATTTTATGTTTATTCATCCATTATCAAGATGTACGATTAATTTACTCGTGTTATGTAAAATATCTAGATAATGAGATAGAGTTCACTTAGTCATATTTATTTATAGATGTATCCAGGCTTCTATATAACTTCATTGTTTTCATAAAATCCCCTGAAAGTACTTTTGAGAGGAAAGATAATTATTAGTATATAAAGGACATGTTAAATAGAAAAACTATTCATATCTATGGATTAAATTTAAACTCTCGGGTTTTTTTTTATCAGTACCGTTTCACAATTAAGACATTTAGTTGTTGATACAAGTGTGCCTTGAAAAAGTTCATGGATCCAAGTATCTTCTATCGACGAATGCGCCGAAGCCGTATCGCCATTGATATTTGTATTTATCGACATTCGATTATGTTGTCCATCACCGTTACTTTGCGTATAATTATTACTAACAGCAAAATTATTTGATTTACTTCGTTGTTTATCATGTTTTTCTTTTTCTTCTTTTTTCTCGGCTATAACAAATCAAGATTTTTGTTTTACAAACAACTACATTATATTATAGTTACAAACCAGTTAGAATATCTGCACATGTATTTAGTAAATGATTAAGAAATTCATGTGCATCTTGTTGCATATCATTATCAAATGTGCCTTCGAAGAAAAATATATTAATTATAATGAATAGATTATTTCGATCTTACTATTTTCTTTTCGTAATTTATTTATGAATTTTTTTGGTTGTAATGCACCTGTTCGTCGTTTCCCAGATACAATCATATGAAATAAATCTGCTAAACATGTTAATAAATTTTCTTTTTTACTCTTTTGTGTTATACGATAATTTAAAACACGTTCTCGAAATGGTTTACAAAAATAAAGAGCTTGAAGCACCGAATTACAATAGCATGTATTACCAAACTAAATAAATAATCTATATGAAAATTTTATTCTAAAATTTTAGTTCTATATATACATTTACAAGGCCAAGATAGTGCTCATTTGAATTTGATTCCACCACTGGTTGGCCAGTTGTGTCCGATGAAACACCATGACCCTTAAATCAATTGATATATTCAAAAAAATAAAATAAAATAAAATAAAATAAAGGATATATACCATTTTAAAGCAAAACATTTGTTTCATTCAAATAATATTTTTCCTGCGACATAAGAAATCTGAAAACAAAAAAGATATTTTGAAAATTCGAATTTAATATTACAAGATATAAGAAATTTTATCTAAAATATTTTAATCTTCTAAAAATATCTTAAGAGGATCATTAATAGTTTTCTATAGATTTCGTGTCAAGTGTCATTATTTTAGGTTGACTCAAGTGAAAGGATATTTTAATCTAAATACAAGTTCATATAAAAATATGAACTATAAGTAAAATATTATCTCTGTTTTAATCTTTCTTATATATCGCTTTATCTTGATTTAATGCACATGCACTTTTTATGCTTGCTAAAAAATTTTAGGATAATTATGAAAACTTTAAATTTTGTTCTCATGATAATTATTCTTAGATTTACAAATATCGTAAATGTTCATTGCATGACACATTATATCAAAATACGACTGAATATTCTAAGTATGTACTCAAATACTATGAGATTATTTCTACTTCAATGAAAGTAAAGATTCTAATATGTTAGATCACACGGCAGAATATTTCTTATCTGAACAAAGAAGATTAAGTGAGTAAAAGAACCAGAGGTGCAGAATCTTCCTCGTGCGCCCCCGCGCGGAGGGCGGATTGGAAAAATTCTGCACTTCTGAAAAGAACATTACTCTTGATAAAAATGATCTGTAAAAGAAGAGTAGTATTCATTCATTAAATCATTGAAAATTATAATCTAAAAAATAATATAGATTACAATATATAAATATTCATTGTTAAAAGATTATATATGTTTGATAGAAAAAAAACGAATACATGTACAAATATTTAAATACAAAAAAAAATTGATTTATATAGTGTCATTTGGAGATAATTCACTAATTGGATTTTCTTCTAAAAATCGAATATTACCTAAAACAAATCAATGGAATTAATTTAAAAATAAAAATTCTATTTAACTTTTACCTTTATGATGTGTATTTTTTAATGTTAGAAGATCAGATTTTATTTTTAATTTAGCTATTTCAATACGATATTGTGCTCTAGAAAAAAATCAACATATATAGATATATTTGTTATTATATATATATGTATATTTTACCGATCTTGTGCATTATTAATACCCATTTCAAGAAGTAGATTATCATTTAACATAAATAGAGTTCGTCCTAGAAATATTTTATAAAATTAATAGAGCATTAACTTATTAAATCGACCATATCGTATATTTTTCCTTACTAACAATGTTACATTTATATTCTGATCGAACAACTCCTTTTTTTTTATATATGCACTGAACTGAAACTTGTAAATTATAGTCCTAAGGAATATTACTGAAAGCTTTTATCAATAAGAAGATTTATTGATGCATTCATTATTCTATTTAGCGGCATTCTTTGTATATATTTATTAATAAGAGATCTAGTCGTGTTGAACTAATATTTACATAAATAAGATGAAAAAACAAACAAACTGATTTTGTTATCATTTACGTTTGTGACTTATCGAATATAATACAAGTAGACCTTTACTCATTTTTCGTACCTCGAATGCCATGACTTTTGAAAAATCCACCATATTTATTAAATAATTCAGGTAAACTATTTTTCATCCATTGTAATACTTCGGAATTAGTCCAAAAACAAGGAGCTGTACTTGTTGCCTTCGATGGTCGTGCCTATAAAGAAAACACAAAATTTCAAATTTTTAAAATATTTTTAATTAATACATACAAGTGTTATTACTTCCATTTTCTTTTTAATCTGAAAAAAAAACAATCATAGTTTTTTTTGGTAAATAAGAAACTGAAATAAAATAAATAAATTATTTATTTTTTCTATTTAATTACATCACAGAAATATCAATAAAAATAAAAAACATTGTTTGTTGTTTTCTCCTTCTCCTCTATTCTTTATGATCCTTCTTTTCTAAAACAATTGGTCGTGAACATAATGCACAGTTTTGTGTGGCATAAAATACTTTTTGTAAACATTTTTGATGAAATAGATGTGAACATGGTGTTATACATGTATTACCAGTTGTTAATACATTATGACATATTGAACATATATCATTATAATTTTCAATTTGTTCTTCTGTAGCTAATGGTAATTGAGTAACATTATCCCATGCCGATTTACGATTACGAAGTATTTGCCAACCTCGACGTACATTTTTTATAATATTTAAATGTGCATGTATAGCAAGCATAAATGCACGTAATGCTCCACGAGCTTCAAAACATAAAATATAGAAACCATTAAAAAGAAGAAAAACTCCAAGAATAAATTCAAAACATGATGTGATTGCTTTTACACGAAATATATATTCATCAAATGAATCAACATTTGATAAACGATTATGAGCATCAAGAACATAAAGTGTATATTGAGCTAATGATGCTATAAGACGTACGATTAATTCCAATGAAAATGCTGTTATAGCTAAAAGCCATGTTGAAAATGTTGTTATACGCCATAAGAAAGCTGCATAAAGAATAATTAAGAATAGCAGTGATAAACACGTATAAACATGTTGATGATGAAATGAACGAAGAATTTTTCGTGAGAAATATGATGATGATGATCTAAAGAATATTTAAAATAAAACGTGTTAATATATAACATTTAATAAAGGATAAAAATGTCATGTTGACTATTTATATTTTGGCAAATAGACGTGCAGTTTCTGTCTATATGATTATGTTTAAAATTTTCTGCTATTTATTTAATTCATTAAATTATCTTTTTATGATGCCTGTCAAAAGAATTATGCATAACATAACACTTAATTCCGAAGAACAGAATTCAAGGTTATTAATAATGAAAGTAGTATAATCTTTTAATTCCCTGCAGATAATTACTGATTATTCGAAGAACTATCTATGACTTATTTACTTGTTTTCATTATCTTCAACTTCTTCTTGATTTTCATTTGTTTCATCAAATGCCATTCTTGTTGTCATTGTTTGCATTGCTACTTTAAGTAATTGTGGTTCAAGTATTGTATGAAGAAAATGACATAATGCAACAATAAGTAAACTGAACGCTTTTAATAATGGAATATGTCGTCGATGAAGATCAAGTCGCGTTAAATTTGATTGAAAAAGTAAAAGAAAAAACATCATACCAATAATAATACCAATCTGTTCAACATCTTCATTCCATAAATTTAAGAATCGAAATAAACGATGAGCCAAAATTTTCATACCATGTGAAACAAGACAAGCAAGACTAATTATTCTAAAACAAACCAAAACAAAAAATACAACAAACATGATTTTTATTATTATCTTACGTAAATATTGTTTCTGTTCCATAGAATAAAGTTGTAAAATAAATCGTTTTTGTTAATGTTGTATTATAATTAATAATTGTTTCATTTGTCGTATTCATTGTTGTTGTATTAATTATAAATGGATGTGTATAAATTGCTCGAAAACCTAATGGTATAATAATAATTTTTGTTAACCAAAATATTTTCATTAATGTTACAACATGTATACGATGTTGTAATGTATTAAATAATGTTTGAATACCAAAATTATTATATAAATTTATTAATTGATTTAATATACGAATATGTATTAAATTAATTATCATATCTCGTTGAAAAATAAGTGCTTCAGATAAATGTATTAATATCCAACAAAGATAATAAATATTTAGTATATATATACTATATGTTAATGGAAATATATAACGTGTTACAAGATATAGAATTGGTGCTATATGACATAAACGTTTTTGAATTGGATATGTATATACTGGAGAACGTATGTTTAACATTTGAATATAAATAGCTGAAAGTATAAATTGAAGTACGAATGTATTTATTTGAATATCCATAAAACGATTTATTTGATAATAAAGATAGATAACAAGTAATGATAATGTATAACTGTAAAATATTACAAGACGTCGATCGGAACATAATAAGAAAACAATTAATAATATAAGACCTAAGATTGGTATTGAAAAATTTAAATTAATATCGATTAATATATGAAAAAAATAACTATGTAATATATAACTTATTGGTTTAAATAATATTTGATTTTCTTGATCAATAATTTTCGATGAATATTCAAGAAAATAATCAAATAAATATGAAAATTGTTCAGTAAATAAATAATCATATAGAAGTAAAAATGGTATACGTAGTAAGCAATATTGTATATAAATAAGTGTTTGTCGAGGTAAAAAACGTTGAAAATGTTCGAAGAATGTATTCTGTTCAATTGTATCATTATGTAATGTATGTAGAAGAAAATCTTCTGTTAAATCTATATTATCATGATCATCATCATCATCCATTTTATAATAATATGTCGAGAAAATTAAGAGTAATAACAATAAAACTGATTCAATATAAACCCCTTAATCATTGACTTAATAATCATTGGATAGATAAAATTAACCAATAGAAAAGTAGACGTTCGTAATGGTTGTGTTTTATTAGATTCATCGCAGTTCATTTTTATTATTATTATTTTGTCGACAAATAATGTCCGTCGCTATCTTAAGTGGTAAATCCATTCAATGGATTTTACGTTCATCAAATTCTGTTCGTACTGCTTGTTTACTGGTACCAACAACATCAAAAAATGTCGAACAGAAGCGTTCCGTTTCATGGTATTTAGGTAAAGAAGAACATCGAAATTATTTATCACAAGCAAGCTATTTTTATTCAAATCCTGAATATGCACAATGGAAAGAAAAACCTTTTAGAAATGGTAATAGAAAACCAAATAATGAATTTGTTTTTGATAATATTTCTTTTCATAGAATTAATGGTTGAAACACCACCTAAACGTAAATTACGTAACTTTAAAATTAATTTTGGTCCACAACATCCAGCTGCTCATGGTGTACTTCGTCTTATTGTTGAACTTGATGGAGAAGTTTGTTTTTATATAATATTAAATAAAAATTATATCATGATTTTTTTTTCTTCTAGACTGTTCTACGTGCTGATCCACATATTGGACTTTTACATCGTGGAACAGAAAAACTCTGTGAATATAAAACATATATTCAAGTAAGCAAGGATAAACTTTTGATATTTTATTTTTCAACATATAACTTCTTATTTTTAGGCTTTACCATATTTTGATCGACTTGATTATTGTTCAATGATGACAAATGAACAGGTATATTCATTAGGTGTTGAACGTCTTTTAGGTATTGAAATTCCAGAACGTGCAAAATATATTCGAAGTAATTTGACTCTTCTTTTTGTTTGTAATTTTTTTATAAAATTAATATCATTTTAGCTTTAATGGGTGAAATGACACGTATTCTTAATCATATATTAGCTATTGGTTGCCATGCACTTGATGTTGGTGCTATGACACCATTCTTTTGGCTTTTCGAAGAACGAGAAAAGGTTTCTATTAAATAGATTTCTATAGACAAAAAAACAAACAAATTTTAAATTTAGATTTCGGAATTTTATGAACGTGTTAGTGGTGCTCGTATGCATGCTGCTTATGTTCGTCCAGGTGGTGTAGCATTTGATTTACCACTTGGTTATTTGGAAGATGTACACAAATGGTGTGAATCATTTTCTCGTCGTATTGATGAAGTAGATGATCTTTTGACTGGAAATCGTATTTGGAATCAACGAACAGTTGGTATTGGTGTTGTTACAGCTGAAGAAGCACTTAATCTTGGCTTTTCGGGTGTAATGTTACGTGGTTCAGGTATTAAATGGGATCTTAGAAAAACACAACCGTATGATGCTTATGATAAAATGGAATTTGATGTACCAATTGGTGTTAATGGAGATTGTTTCGATCGGTAAATAAATTTCATGCTTAATAACTTTCTTTTTTTTCTAAATTAATATCTGTATTTTTTAGATATTTATGTCGAATGGAAGAAATGAGACAAAGTTTAAGAATTATGGAACAATGTATTAATAATATGCCATCTGGAGAATATAAAGTAAATAACAAAAAAAAATGTATATAGAATTGATTTATTTCTTGTTTTTTTAGGTTGATGATCATAAAGTTGTACCACCAAAACGTGCAGAAATGAAGGTAAATTCTAATATACAAAAAGAATGAAATAATTTAATATTAATTTTAGGAATCCATGGAAGCTCTTATTCATCATTTTAAACTTTTCAGTGAAGGTGTTGTAGTTCCACCTGGTACAACATATACTGCTATTGAAGCACCAAAAGTTAGTTTTATAATTCTTCACTATAAATTAAACAATCATATATCTTTATGTTATTTAGGGTGAAATGGGTGTTTATCTTGTATCCGATGGTACCTCAAAACCTTATCGAGTTCATATTAAAGCTCCTGGATTTATTCATTTAGTAAATAAATTATTCTTTCCTTTTTCAAATTTAATCTTTCTCTTTTTTTTTTAATAGGCTGCACTCGATCGTATTGCTCGTCGTCATATGCTTGCTGATTTAGTTGCTATTATTGGTACACTGGATATTGTCTTTGGTGAAGTTGACCGTTAAAGATCTACCCCGCGAATGTATAATAAGATTTTCTCTTTTGATCTATCCATCGTTTAGAATTCACTTTTCTTTCTTAATAAAAAAATACACCTTATAACACATATGAATTTGCACATGAAGTATAAAAAAACAGAAACACATATACAAAAAATCGAATGTACATTGAAAAACAAAACAAACATTCACATAATGACAAAACTGAAAAGAAAACTGCATAGAATCACTGAAAAAATGTGTCAAACAAAGAATTATTGATTGAGCACCATTGTACAAAACACTGTTAATACTGAAATAATCCAATTTAATGATTTTATTGAATTAGCCATAGCAATACGACATTTAAGTTGATCAAATCGTGAAATATGAGAATTATTACTCATTAATAGTTCCCACTGTGTATCCATCGCATCACCATTAAAAAAATCATTTTGATCAATAAATGGATATTCATAGCCAGGTCGACACCGACATTTATATTTACCTAAACGAAAACCTCGACCAAATATCGGTTCACACTAAAATAAATGAAATAGATGAGGTTATAGAATAATAATAACATACTACTGTGCTTTGATAATCACAACGATCACTGCCTTTAAATGCATTCGGTACATACTCAGGCATTGAACATTGATTTATATCCAAATAGTTAAGATATGCATCAACTCGTACTACACCTCTATAACAGAACAATCATATTTATTCTGTAATAATTATAATCTTCAAAAAATTTACTTGAATTCAAGATTAATGCCAAGTGTATCCAAACCAAAAAAAGGAACTGCATAAGTAACAATCCATTGACGTGGTAATGTATAATTTCTACTACATTGAAATGTTGGTGGAAACCATTGACCATGTCTAAAATAAATATAATTCTTAAACTAAATATAAATATTTTATTTATCTTTCTCACTTCAATTCTGGTGCATAAGAATAAAGTGGAAAACCAGATTCATGATGTACTAATGCATTACCAATATAATCTGATCGAATAAATAATTTTAGCCAAAATTCAGTTAATTCTGAACGATCAGCATTGGTTCCCCATCTAGCTTTCATTGTCTAAAGAAAAACAATCAAATCAAAATCTTCATATTACTTGTCTTTCTAATTACTCGAAACCAAATTTCATTTTCATAACCCTCAGGTAAACCTGCCCAATCAACAACGGTATATTTTCGACTTATATCGTTTTCTGATCGATATGCATAAGGTCCGAAAAAAGGTAAACGATAATTTGGAAATTTTCCACGATCAAAATAGATTCCAACACCAACAACTTTATAATCACCACCTGCTGCAGCTAAAACTTCACCAATTAATTGTTCGTCAGTTAATTCAAGTTCAGCTTTACGTAATGGAAAATCTTCAGCAGGATTAACAATTTGATAGAAACTTGATAGAAAATGTGATAATGTTAATGCTAAACGTGCTTGAGATTCGAATTGAATATCAACATCATTTAAAACATCACCTGGCATAGTTAAGTCATCTTCAGTCATTAATTCACATAAATTTGGATCATGATTAAGATGATCATATAATTGCATTATCGATCCAATACGTGTTGGATATTCATATGCAAAACGTTTTGAACGAGTTTTTTTAATATGATCTTCCGATTCAGTAGTATTATTAAAACCTGTAATAAGTTTACTAGAAAATGAAGCAAATTGATCAACAGATGATTTAAATAAAGAGGAAGTTGAAGATGATAATGTTGCGATTAGATTTATTTTTGGAACTAAATAAGAAGAGAAAATAAGATTGAGAAAGGGAGAAAAAAAAGTTTAATCTACCAGATTCAATTAATGATGGAATAGAATCTTTATTGTAATCAGTATAGACTGTTTCATTTGATATATTATCATTATTGTTATCGATTGACCGACGTGCACGCATTGCAAATAATTCAATATTAGCTTGGTAGAAGTTTTGTGGAATTTGTTGATATACTAAAAGAGAATAGAATTAAATCATTGAAGAGTTCATAGAAATATCAATGATTTCATACATACATTCAACTTTAAGACAATCAAAATTATTTACATATTCTTCTTGTGTTGCTTTTTCGATAATATAACCTTTAAATGGTCCATCTTGATATGGCGGATAACGATAACCAGGCTGACAAAGACATTGATAACCACCACGACGAAATCCAAAACCTATTAGCGGTTCACAACGTGTTGTTGGTTTACATTTATCTGTTGCAGCAAATAGATTAGCATGTTTTGATTGTGGATCATTCGATTGTGCATTTGTTTCACTAGTTTCAGCACATTGATTTATATCCATCATAATAAAATCAATTTCTGCTACAGCAACTGCTAAATTTTTCATAGTTTGTAAATGTCGAAATTCTGTATGTCGTGGATATATATCAACAATAGGTGAAACAGCACTTATTACCCATTTATTTGATCGACCACAATCAAAATATGGACGTGTCCAAAGTGTAGGACCTGATTAAAATTAAAATAAGAGCAACATTTTTTCTCTCTCTATCAATGTTATGGATTAACACACCTTGTGGATCTTCGGGATGTGGTGGTCCATAAAATTCAAAGTTTTGTGGTTCATCACGAAGTTTATACATTCTTTCTGCTAACAATAATTGAACTGAATGTACAGGTTTACCTATAAAATAAGATTAGAATTAGTTTTTCCCATATCAATTTATAAAAAAAAATAAAGTCATAATCCCGTGAACATAAACAAATAAATACACCATAGTGATAATCATTTTAAAATAGAAAAATTAAATTAATAGAAAAGTGTAAGTATGAAACAAGAGAAACACATTTTTTTAGATTAAAACGAATGTGATTCTCTCGTTTACTTGATTGAATAAATATTCTACAACACAGATCACCAATAAAAGTACAAAAATTGACCACAATTATGTGAAAGAAATATACAAATAAATAAAAACAAAACCGTAATCTAATATATATAGCTAGATACACATATATATAAATAAAGAGCACTATACGTTTTTTGATTGCATCATCATCATTATAATCTTCATCATCAGTATCATTTCTTTTCTCATCAATTATTTTCCATTCATTTTTTTCCGTTTCATCGTCGTCATTGTTAATAGCCAAATAAGGTGGAGGTATTATAAAACTATAAGGGCGAACTTCTACAAGCAAAACAATCAGCTAAGTATAGGGTAACAAGGTTTACTTTTATATATAATAATCAAAAAAGAAAAATTTTAAATTTTATTTTATTCTTACCTCGTCCTTGATCATTTCGTGTTTGATCAGGTAACCATTTACTATACCATTCATTAGCACGATTATATCGTGATGTATAATGATGATTACGACCTGCACCAATATCTTCTTCTTGAATAGTATGATTTGTCCATTCATGTTTCCAATTAAATGCATCTATTAATATGATAATACAAAAACAATGAAAACTTCGAAATATATGATTACCATAGAAATCATCTGCTCGCCAAGCATACGGACCAAATAATGGAAGTGTTTTATTGAAATAATTTTTATACCAATGTGGATAATATTTATCTTGATCAAAAAAGATTCCTGAACCATTTATCATACCTCGACCACCAGTTATATCGGCTGTAATAGAAGACGTACTTATCTTAATAGATATATCTACTTTTATTCTTACCAGCATTGTGTAAAAGTATATATGTTAAACCAGGTTCTTCAAAATCGAATAAACGTTGAAATAAATAACTGTATAAAAGAGCATTTCGATGAGCAATATTTCGTACATGTAATAATTGTGTTCGATTTCTCATAATAATATCTTTTTTAAGCATTTCAATTGACGGTTTTTGATACACAGCTTCTTCAGGTAATACCAATTCACTTGGTTGTTTTTGAAAACAATTAGCACTATTTACAGAATTAATTCGATCCATTACTTCATCAATTTTATCATAAGAAATCCATTCAAACTGAGAATAAGTTTTATTTAACATATATAAACATAGAAAAATGGATAGACAACTACGTTCAAGAAGATTCATAATAGTTAAGAATCTAAAATAAATAGATATTGCGATGCTAGAAGGACGATACAGTAATAATATTAGAATGGTTTTGTAGTGACTTTGAAGAGAAGAACTAATAAGCGCTTATCTTCTAGATACAAAGATTTATCACGATATCTCGAACAAAAAGTAATTCGTAGAAGTAAATATGTATAATCGACGCGCGTCATCACAGCTGTTCAAATAATATATATAAACTGCAAGCAATTATAACCAGAAGATCGAGACACAATACATTTAATAACAATCAACCTACTTTGAATGTAAGACACTAAATGTTATTGAACAGTCTTCTTACATCATGTTAAAATAAATCGGTCAACAATAGTCTGAAAGTCTTAGTTGTTACAAAAATATTGTTAAAATTATACTTAAATTTTATCATTATAGATTTTCTTTCACTTTGACCATTGATAAGATAAAAAAAGGAGAAAAGAAAAGATCGTTCATTGACTAAGAGGTCAACTGTCTACTGCAAGCTAATAGTGACCATTTTAACTAGACAGTTGAAATGTTGAACTTTTTCTCCCTATCTTCATCACCTGTTACTAGATCCATTAGTTATTTTAACTAAGTCATTGAAGAAAAAAGTCACAGTAGATTAAATTCGAAACAAAAAATCTCTTTTCAATTCAATTTTTTTACCTATTTCTGTTTTAAATTTTGTAATCGATTGTAGTGCCATTGTTTCTATTGGTTAAACTATTCAACCAATGCTTTAGCTTATCAGACTAGTTCTTTGTTCTCCTTGATCTTAATTCATTCATTCGATTATTTAACTGATCGACTGACGAAATTAACAAAAATATAATTTTTGTCTATTGAAAATCTTTTCATAATGTCAACTTGGCGTAAACGATTTTCGTAAGAATTTTTTCTCAATTTTATTCGAACTAAACTTTTTTTCATAGGCGAAAATCACAACGACTTAATGAAAATGACGAAATTCTATTGAATAATACAGTCAAATATCGTAAAAAATTACAAGCTGCAATTATACAAATAAATCGAACAAAAAAATCTGTACAACGAAATTTAGATAGTCCTGATCATGAAGTTCACGGTACAGAAATACATATATAAATATATACCTCATTTTACTTTCTTTTTTTTAGTTGCTCGTCTTATTAATGATATTGGTCAATTATCTGATTGTAGACCACTTCAAGTATTTGAATTGTTTTCATTTTTTCTATATAAAAACTAATCAATTTTTGTCTAGGAAATAAGCACTTTAATTGATTCTTTAGCTATGCGATCTCAATTATCATCGCGAATATTTAATGGTAAGAAAATTTTTGTTAGTATTAAAAAATCTAATCTATGTTATGTGAAAATACTATAATAGAATACGCAATGAATTCACTTCAACAATCATTACAAAAATTAAACGATAATTTATCAAATGATTTCGATAAAACAAAATCTGTATTTGAAGAAGCAATAACAAATCATTGTTCTCATCGTACAAAAGAACAATTATTAACAAAAGGTTTGTAACAAGAAAAGAAAAAAAATCAATCTTAATCTGATTTATTTTCTAGTACAAACTGAATGGAATAAACATAAAATACTAGCAACTAAAGAACTCAAACAAGGCTTATCATCTTATTGTGATGTTGGCTTATATAATCTTAGAGTACAAACAGCTATGATTGAAAAACTTCAAGTAAAATTATTGATAAAGCTATATAATACTATGTTCATTTGTTTTAAAATAGAGTTTTGTTGATCAATTACCGTCCGATGATGATGAAAATAATATGAATAATGGTTTACCGAATTTTGCTAATAATAGTATTGAAACTCGACGAGATATCGATACTATGCTACGTATTATGCTTGATTCAGCACCAAATAATCCAGCTTCTTTTCCGAAAGTTCAACGACCGAAATTTCTTAACAATCATTTAACTCTTTCCAGTAAATTTCTATTAATTGCTATATTATTCGTAATAATTTTGTTCTGATTAGATTCACTCTATTCTCCTGAAATAACTGAAGCAGCAGCTCGATCAAATTTACCATCAATAGGACAAAGAAATACACCGAGAATTCTCCAATATCCTTCTATGGTTGCAACAACTACAAATGAACATGAATCAAGCATTGTTTCACCTTTGACACCAAATAATGGTCGTTTACATAGTAATATGAGTAAGTAATTAATAACAAAATGAAACGAAAATCATGGAGAAGGGATTTGAATATCTTGCTTTTTTCCTTTTGTAGATACACCTGTAGATGATCATTTACCATCCTATACAGATTTATTTATTGTACCGAAAAATTGCAAAGATGAACGTGTACAACGACGAAATACATATGTAAAAAATCAATAATTAGAATTTATTTTTCAATATATAAAAATTAAAATTATTTATCATGTGCTTGTACTTTCTATCAATGAATTTGTTTTCATTCTATATAATGTGCAATGATCAATTGTTAATTTATACATATACAAAATGTTGTTACTGTTTATAATGAATTATTTCTTATTGTCAGATATTAGATGTTTATGTATATATGAATCTCTGTTTATTTGCTTTAAATAAATAAAAAATTTCTCTTATTTCTTGTTTTGTTTTCTTCGCGCGTATTGAAAAAAAAATGAATAGGACAAGTCGTGCGTTTATACCATTACATTCTTATACGTACACAATGATGATTGGTTTAATATGTATTGGAATATGTTTTATTTGTTTATTATGTTTCATCATAAGTCGAATAATTTATGAACGTGAAAAACGTGAACGACAAATAACCAATCTTCATCGTTTTACGATTAATTTACCTGAAATAGATCTGAAGAAATATCAAGGAAATATTTTAAAAGACAAACATTTACCATTAGATTATGGACAAATGATGGCGATGCTTGGAAAAAGTTTAAAAGATATGGATGATTTTAAAAAACAATTACAAATTTTACCAATAACAATTGCACAAAAATTAGGAAATTTTAATACAAAAAATAATCAAATTGAACATTTACAACGTGCACTTGTTGAAAATCAATTTCATTTTTGAATTTAATCTAAAAAGAATAGATCAATAAAATTTTCAGTTTCTTTTCTAGATAAATAACATTTAAATTATGTCGAATGCAAAAAGTGCAGTAGGACGTTCTTTAGTTAAAAAACGTTTTGCTAATAAACATCGTAACCGAGCTGGAGAAGAATGGGTATGAAAAAAAAATGTTTTGTGAAAAAAAAAGATATATTTTATATTTTCTATAGATGTATCAAAAAGCTGATTTTACTACGACGACTGATTGGAATCGACTTAATCTACGATCCATAACAGATCAAAATTCTTTAGATGACTTTTTAAGTACTGCTCAATTAGCTGGCACTGATTTTGCAGCAGGTTATTATTTCTCTATGAATAAATATATATATATATATTTAAATTGATATTTTTTTAGAACGATTAAATGTAACGTTTATTCCAGCTGTAGCAAAAGTTGGAATTTTAACTAGTGAAGATAAAGAACGTATAAAAGAAGTACAAAAATTACATGTTGATAAATTAGGTATTCCACGACGGTAAGGAGATTTTTAATGCATTTTTTTGTAATGCATTTAATGATTTGTAGACCAGCGTGGACTTCTAATATGAGCGCCGAACAAATCGATCTACAAGAACGTACGAGTTTTCTTGATTGGAGACGACGATTAGCTTTGTATGATATTTTACTTTCAATTATTGTTATTAAGTCTCGTTTCATTAATTTAGGTTACAAGAAATCGATGATTTAACATTAACACCATTCGAAAAAAATCTTGAATTTTGGCGACAATTATGGAGAGTTATCGAAAAAAGGTTAACTTTCACATATATATATGCTTCTCTAATGCTAATTTAATTATTTTCGCAGTGATGTTATTGTTCAAATCGTTGATGCTCGAAATCCGCTATTATTTCGGTGTGAAGATCTTGAAAATTATGTTCGTGAATTATCACCAGATAATAAAAAAGTTAATGTAATTCTTGTTAATAAAGCTGATTTATTAACTGATGAACAACGGTAATAGAAATGAAAATATTTCATATAAAATCTTTAGTTTTTATTCTATTTAGACAAATATGGGCAACTTATTTTGATAAACATAATATTCGTGTAATTTTCTATTCAGCTTTACAATCAGCTCCATCTACAAAATCTACAAAAACAAGAAATGATTCAGAAGATCTAGATGATACTGATAGAGTTCTTGAAGATATTAAACGAAATCAATCCAAAGCTAATTATAATGATGATAATTTTGAAATAACAAAATCGCCTGGTCCATTAAACAGATTCGACGCTCTTCAATTAGAAGATGAAAATGATGAAAAACAAAAAGCAGAAATCAATATCAATGATGACGATATTCCATCTCTTGGTAATGAAGAAGAATATGATGATGATGATGATGATGATGAAGAAGAAGAAGAAGAATCCGAAGAAGATAACGCTAATGAAAATGAAGATTTAATTGAAACAATACGTGATGAAATTTTTGCACATGGACAATCTAAAGAAACAAAACCGAAAAATTTATCACTAGTTGTTAATCGAGAAGAATTAATATATTTACTTAAATCTTTATATGTTCATAAAACAACTACTCGAGAAAATATTCTAACTATTGGAATGGTAAATATATATATATATAAGATTATTTGATATAAAGACAAAAATCATTTCTTAATAGGTTGGATATCCAAATGTTGGTAAAAGTTCAACAATTAATTCTTTATTACAATATAAAAAAGTATCTGTATCAGCAACACCTGGAAAAACCAAACATTTTCAAGTAATATATCGAAAAAAAAATATTTCTTTTACTAAATTATTTTTTTCTAGACGATTTTTCTTGAGAAAGAACTTATGCTATGTGATTGTCCTGGTCTTGTTTTTCCATCATTTGTTTCAACAAAAGATGAATTAATTGTTAATGGAATTTTATCTATTGATCAAATGCGAGATTATATTGGTCCTGCTAATCTCATATCCTTTTTTACTATTTGTTTCAATTCTTGTTTTTCTAATCTTATTTTTAGCTTATTTTGTTTTGAGTTTATCCTTAACTCTATATACACGTTTGTCATCAGATTCCACGTTCTGTCATCACACATATTTACAATATTATGTTACCATTACCAAAAGAAGGAGAAGATGAAAATCGACCACCAACAGCTGTAGAATTATGTGCTACATATGCCTGTAAGAATACTGTTTAGATTATGTATCTAACTAACAAAAAAAATGATTTCATTACAAATGAATAGTGATTGAGATGAGTCTTATTTTCTTGTATTTATGATTAAAATCATTTACAATAAAAGTAAGATGACAGTTTGTTACATACAATCACGAAGATTACTTGTGTCGATGAGTATGATCTTTAACTAATTGTATCTTTATTTATAAACATATCTTGATATTGTTGAAAACACAAGGTTAGATACTATTGAATGAATCATAAGCAAAAGAACTCAATATCATTGAGATAATTACATAATATGTATCTATAATTTTTGTTTAGATCGACGAGGTTTTATGACTCATAAAGGTATTCCTGATGGAAGTCGAGCAGCTCGTCTACTTCTAAAAGATTATATTAATGGAAAACTTTTATATTGTTATCCACCACCTGGTTATGATTCAGAAGAATTTCAACAGTATGCTGCGCATTATGGTCTTACTAGCGATGATGATGACGATGATGATGATGAAACAAACAATGAAGAAAATAAATCAAATGAAACAACATCAAAAGTAAATTTTATTTTATTCACAAAAAGAAAAAGTTTCTTTTTTTATTGTTAATCAATTTTGTTATTTTCAGCCATCAAAGTTTCAACCATCCGATGTCGATCGACAATTTTTTCAACCAGTAAACATTTTTATTGTTTTGTTTTGTTGTTGAATATATTTAATTTGATTTTCGTAGACTGATATACGTTTTGGTAGTAAAGGTATACATGGTCGATTAAATTATACAAGAAAAAATGGTCCAATACAAGCAGGTGAAACTACGAATGATTCAACAAATCAATCTCCAGATGGAAAACCATGGAAAAAACATAATAATCGTAAAAAAAAAGAAAAATTAAGACGTTTGTATGGACATCTTGATGCTTAATAATAAAACAGTGATGTGAAAACAAAGATCGGCAAATATATAAGACTATTCTTTTTTTACAAAAAAGGAAAAGAAAACATTTTTAACAGCCTGATTTTTTTGCCGGTTGATATATACATATACATATATATCGTGCATAAATTGATCACCGGTCATAAACACATTGTTTGAATTAATATGTGTTTGTCTTCTTTGGTTATTTTTTACAGTTCTGTTACTTTCATAGGTGGTAAACGTGGTTGACATACTGTTCGTTTATCATCAATAGGAGTTTTTCTCGATGTAAATGTTTGTCGATAATTAGTTGTTAATGATGGACTATCTTGAAATGAATCATATATATGATTATCAACAGTTGTTCGAGGTGATGATAATTTTTTCGGAAGAGGTGGCGGAGGTCTTTTAGGTAATGGTAAAGGTGATTTTGAACGACGTGGTGTTCTTTCTGTATGTATACATTGATTAATAAAAGGAATAATAGATGCGGTTGATGAACTTTTCGTTGTATCATTATGTTCTTTTTTATTTGATGTTTTTGAACGTTGTGATGGAGTCGATTTTAATGTAATTTCTTTCGATGATTTCGATCGTTTAAGACCTACATCAGTAGGTTTTGTTGGTGAACTATTTGGGGGTGATATTGAATATGTACGTAAAATTTTTTGATCAGTTCTATTTGCACGACGTAAACTATCATGAAATGATGATGAACGAATAAAATTTGTTTTCGTTGTTTTAAGACGATCTATAAAAAAGAAACTTGAGCTGTAAATAATAATTAAAGAAAAATAATTTACCTAATGATTTAAAATTATGTATCGATGAAATATTTCCAAACTCACTAAATGATTTTGATACATCCGAAATAATATGATTAATTGGTAATGAAATAGCTGGAAATGATTCAGACATAAATGATGATGTATTTGATTGTATAAAATTAAAATAATGTTGATTAGGTAAATTTTTTGCAAGTTGATCAGGTCCATCATCAATAACTTTTTTCATTCGTTGATAATTTTTATATAACTGGATACCATGTTGTATAATTCGAATACCATCTATCCATCGTTGACATTCATTATATGTATTTGTACATAAGTAATGGATATATTTATTTGATTTTTTTTGTATATGTGCATATTTAAGTGCAAAACCATATTGAGTTGGAGAACGTAATGATTCAAACCAATTATTTGCATAATATAGTTGCATATTTGATTCAAATTTTAATAAACAAATAAGATCACGTTTTGAAGATGAAGATTTTGGCATTTGATATATACCTGATTGACGTAAAACGCATGTATATTTTTTCCAAAGTTTTCGATTTTTATCTTTCATATATAAAATACTTGTTATATCATCAGGTAAAACAATTGTATTTGATGATATATAATCAACTAGGATATTATTGGAATTATTTTCTTTGAGGGAAAAGAATTTCTTTGGTTCATTAAACATAGCATATTTACTTTCATGTTGTTGAAAGCATATTCGATTATTAGTATCACGTGACCAATAAACAATAGCATCATTTATTAAATTTTGATGATCTTCAAATATACGATAGATATGTAAATCAGGTAAATCTTCAACAAGTGTATAATTATATGTTGGATTTAAACGATATTTATGTAAAAGTAAAACAATTATATCATAAATTGACATTGTTTCATCAATGAGAATATTTTTCGTTGATTTATCTTCATTATGAATTTTAACAAACATTTTTTTAATATTTGCTTCATGCATTTTTTCTAATGCTAAACGAATTTTACTATCTCCAATAGGATTCTTCAATGCATCACATGAAAAAGCCTTTTAAATAAAAAAAAAATTCATTGAAAACAAAAAAAAATATGTATATAACTTACACTAGAAATATTAGATATTTGACTGTGTGTTCTCAATTGTGATCGTTGTTTATATGGTAAACTTATAGAATCAGTAGATTGTGATAAACCACTATCAGAAAAATGTTCGTCACCTTCAATATCACGATTTTTATCATCATTTACATCTTGTTGTTGACGATGAAGAATCGTTGTTGAATCACTAGCTGCTGATGATGATGAACTATTTCCTGAATCTCCTAATTCAATTTCAACATTATTTAATGTACTTGTTAATGTAGCCAGTGCTTGATCAAGTTCATCAAATTGTGCGACTATATTTGGTGAAATTGTCTTTTTATTACGATGATTAGATTCATTGTGAAACATTTGTGGTTGATCTAATCGTTGTTCAAGTGTGTGAAGTTGTTCAAGTAATATGTCAAGATCATCTTCTACAATAAACAAAAAAACAAATAGAAATTGAAATTGATTTTCATATCGATTTTGTCTCGTCAATTGTTGATTGATTTCTTGTCTTTTATTTCTTTTTACAACACTTGAATTCAATCTGTCTGAGAAGTTTTTTTTTTCTTTTTCTCCGTCTTGTTCATTTTTCTCATCAACATTTTAAAGTGATGCCTGAGAATAGAACTCTTTTGTTCGTGTTCAAATACTTGCTTATCCGATCAATCAAATCGTGACCTATATTTGTTTGCATGCACATGTATATATATATATATATATATGTTCATACAATGTTCAAATGATGACGGCTGCAGTCGATGAATGTAAATTCTTTTTAATCATATTCAGACTTCAATCAAAGACATTCTATACAATTTTAAACATACGTCATATTAAGAAACTAGAATATTCTGCTATACTCTCTTTTTTCCTTCTCTTCTTCTTCAAAGAATTAACCTTCATCATATAAATATGTCTTACAACTAGTTCGGCAATAGAAAATCTAGATTTTTTTTGTATTTCTACTATATAGTGTTCTATTCTAAACATAATATTTTCTATTATGTAGGCATGTTTAGTATCAATACACTTCCGTTTTTCTTTCTTTCTCAAGCAGAGTATTGTGCAACTATCAATCAATATTTAGCTTTTTTTCTGTTTATCAATAATTGATTAAATCAAAATAAACATTAGTTTTCTACCTTTTTCCATAGTCAAAATCGTTGGTGATGTTGATGTTGTATTTTGAGCTTGTCGTTCTAATGTAGACAATTCTTCGTAAGCTTCTCGGATTTCCTATTATATAAACAGAAATATTTATATATAACTATATAACTATATATATATATATATATCTACATACATATATATATAAAGAAAGAAATTATTCTATACATAACAATAAACGTTTATCTTTCTTAGAGTACTGATGCAGATGTGAAATAAAATAACTTCCGTTTACAGTTTTATCCCTACGGTCACATTATGTTCATAGAAAGAATAATGGCAAAGAGACATTTCACGTCATTATATTGATAAGCCGAAAGAAAAGAAAAACGGAATACCGCTTGCATGGCTAGTGGTGCCAAGTGGAAAATGAACTCATAAATCTGTTACACATACATACATACGCCCTATTAGCGTGCATCCGTTATAATCAAATCCAAATGTAACAATATGACGCCGCTTTATAAATATACATATATATATAGAAGTATAAAAGATACCTAGTCATTTTGACAGTGTGAGCTTCTCTTACGTATAAAGGACATCTAATAATTTATCAAGGTGTAAAATGACAGAGGTCATTAAGCAAACGTGTTTGTGCTTGAATGAGAAGCTAATTTGATGGTCGGTCAAAAAAAGAAGAAGAACAAGAACAAAAAAAAAAGAATCTTACTTTTTTGAAACTGTTTAAATCACCAAGACAATTTTCAACTGATATATTTGTTGGTGACTGACTTTTTTCTTCATTATTGTCATCATTACATATAACAAATTCTTCATCAAGAAGATCATCATCACCTGTTTCAGATTCTTCACTTATACTTGACATAGAACAGCGACGGAGATACATTCGATGGTACATCTTCTATTAATTTAATTGAACATTTCAACAAAAAAAAATTATATATCTGAAGAAAAAACGAAAAAAAAAAGAAAAGAAAAATTGGACACTTTAAATTAGTAAAAGAAAAGTCTACAGTAGTGTTTGCCTGCCTGCCTGCTTGCTTGCCTATCTAATGCGTTGAAACATGTAAAATGATTGAACAACGTAAGTAGAGGTATGATGTAATGTTATGTGTGAAAATTCATAACGAACGATACAGTAAGTACTACTTCAGCCGTGACATGTGGAATATAGAAGTGAAGAAAATGAAAATGACAAATGAACTGCACTATTAAGATTATTAAGGTTAAATTATGATCTTCTTATCTTCCTTCTCTCTCTCTATATATATATATATATGCATATGTGTTCAACTTAACACTATAGTATTCTTTTTATAGATATTGTTCATTCATCATTATCATTATATTTTGTTTTTGTTAAGATGAAAAAAAACTCGTTAGTTAGTGTTTATTGGAATAGGACAAACTAGATAATGAATTACCAGCAGAACAAATAATCAAGTTGTTATATACTAGAATAGAACATATGAACAAAGAACCTTGGTAAAACATTAAAAAGCCCTACTTCACTTACTTAACATATCTTAACCTTAGAAAGTTATACTTGTACCATTAACATGGCTGATTTTTGAAGAATGCATTATGAATAAATGTATGTTTGAGGTAGTATAGTGAACTATATTTTCTTTTCTTCTCTGTCTCTCTGTCTCTCTCCCTCCTTCTCTGTCGCTTCTGTCTCGTATTGTAAGCTATTGTAGTCGAATAAGCATTGTCCGACTGACTTTCTTTTCCTTCTCTCTCTGTCTCTGTCTCTGTCTCTCTCTCTTTCTCTCTCACTTTCTTTGTCCATTGTCTGGCTATCTTTTGCTCTCATCGGCTGCTACATCGTCAATGGCCTGTTGCATTGTGGTACATATATAATATAGGTTGTGTAGTAGTAGCGGTAGTAGTAGCGGTAGTAGTAGTAGTAGTGGTAGTAGTAGTAATAGTGATGAGGGACGTTAAGGGTGTGGATGGAGAAGAAGAGAGAGAGAGAGGGAGAGCGAGAAAAATCGAAAGTGTAGTACATTACTCAAATGTATATGCGTTTGTTCTTTTCCTTATCATCACTTTGTTCTTTCTTTCTTTTTTTCGCATTTTTTTTGTCATATAAATGACCTAGACCAATGTACAGGTATTTGTACCGTTTTAAAATCTCTCATCCTTATTACCTTGAACTTCCATCATATATAAATATAAAATAGAATATGACAAATCAATGAATTTACACATTACAATCTAAAAAGATACCTATTATACGTATGTTTACCGAACAATCGTACAGATTACTATCACAACGTATACCTAGTTATTTTTAATACTTGATATGTGTCGATACACGCTCTCTACTATATTACTTGATCATTATATATTTTATCTCAAAACACACGTACATATACATTGAATAAGTTCTCATTTAATCAAAATAGGATGATGTGTATATAGCACGTCTTCACCTAGATGTATTTATATGTATATATGTATATATATAAATGTGTTCATCTGATACAAAAGGATTCATTAATTCCTACACAATGATCGATTTATTTTTGTTTGATATAGAACATTAAACCAATACAAAGCACAGAAAGAGTTACAACAACGCAAGTCTTTTTCGAAAATTGATTTGTATTCTTAGTCTTATGTCCATTTAATGATTTTTGTAAATGTGGGAATTGTAACTGGATTTGTTCAATTAATAAATCAGCATTATTTTGTAATTGTTGTACATCAGTTTCAATTTGATCAATTTTACAGTTATATAAACTATAATCAATATCTAATGTTGCATCATCTCGAAATAAATTTATATTATTAATATTATTATTTAATAATAAATTAAGACTAGATGATATAAGATTTGTTTCATTTTCAATACGTGTTATTATATGATCAGTATCTTTCATTGATAATAATGGATCATATTGTTCAATAGAATCTTTATTTTCTTGTAATCGATCAAGTATATAACGTAATTTATTTAGATCATCTTCATTTTGTATTCCAATTTCATTGAGATTCACTAATGTAAGATCATTAATTTTTTGAAAACGATCGATTAATATCGGTTTTAAATATTCTAGATCAAGAATTTCAAGAAGAATCGATACTTCATTTTTATTATTCATATCTATAAGAAAAATGTTTTCTGTTTTCTTCTAATTTTTTCTTTTGGATATATTTTTATTCAAAAAAAACACACACAGAAAATTATGAAACTTGTTTCTTTTTTGATGTTTTGCTTTTTTTCTTTTCAACTAAAGGTTCTGATTGTTCAACAATTGTTACGTTAGGATCACGTTCATAAATAAGTGTTGCACAATAATCATCTAATTTACGTAAACGATCGAATTTAAGACCATTTTTTTCAATAAATGTTTTCATTTGTAATTGATTATCATTGTTATTTAACTGTTGAAGAATATCAGTTGTTGTTAAAGTGGGAAGAAGTGATCGTGCTATTGGCATCGAAGCAAAAACAGTTGTATCATACTGAAAGAAAATATAATTAAATTTATTTCTTTGAAATAAATTATTCTATTACTAAAGCATTGATCTTTGCTGGATAATCATTTGGTAACAATGGGTAATTTTGTGCAAATAAATTTTTATTCTAAAAATAAAGAAAAATCTAGTGAATATAATTTTTATCTAATTTATTTTACCAGATCATAACCATCAATATTAGTTTTTATTTGTTTTTGTAAAATAGTCCAAAGTTCGGATGATAAAGCTGGTATGACTGGTCCAATCATAACTAATAGATCACAAAGAGATCGTAAATATTCATTAGATTCTCTTTTGATATTGATTGGTACTTTCTATAACAATTCAAAATTAAAATTTCTATCAAAAATGAAAATAGATTAATTTTTATACTCGAAGATAACGTGTTAATTTTTGTAATTCGATAATAGCTGATGCTACACTAAAAAAACTATCGATATAAAATGTAACTGTATAAATCGTATTTAATCGTTGTTCACGTAAAGCTAATTCAATTTGTTGAAATTCTTCATTACTCATTACAGTTTTTGTTCGTGGATCAATTAATTCAACATAAAGATTAATAAAGATTTTAAACCAATTCTGTAAACCTTCGGCAATACCATCTTCCACTAAAAGATAAAATTTCAAAAAAAAAAGTATAGACTTAATTATATTACAAATTATTTTAGCAATAAAACACATTAGTATTTGAATGATTTCGCTAATGATGAAAATGACATAGACATTAATGCATTCTTTTGAACTCAATGAGGTCAATTTTTTTTAAATGATTTTATTTAGTAACTATTAAGGAGTTTTAGAACAACTGAATTTTTTTTGATTAATCGATTTAAAATTCTGTGAATTTAAAAACTAAGAGAATTATTGTTAGGTCTATTAGTATGATTTATTTAATTTTAATGATTTGCATCCTGTACAGTTGGAAAGTTCTTGAGAGAATGAATTCATATAGTTGTACAAATCGAAAGAGTTTTCTTATATAACTGTCTGTTTGTTCGAGATCGACATAGGCAAGTGTTTCTTTTGTCATGGACATATTATACTTGCGATTGTGGCCATGACCATGAGACATGACCATTTTTTTCTCGTTTGTAACAAGTTATAATTTTCTTTCATAAACTATATACTTCGTACACTTTCAGATCAGATAAATCGAATATACATTACGACAGCAAGACAATAGAATTAAAATTTTCAATTCAAAATATGAATCATTGCTTAAATAATTCAGCTTTACTTTGGGAATAATTATTTTTAACATTAATTTCTAGTTCTTCTAATTTCGAAAAAAAAATTTACAAACTGTTGAAATAATTTGCGTTAAGGACATCTGATACAATTGATATAGAGGCAAAATATATGATTTTTCCAATATCTATGACTACCGATTACTCATGGTCATGGTTTCGACCCTGATCGTGTCTACTATAGGTCATAATATATGTTCTTGAATTCTCCAAGAATACAGTTAAATCTGATCCTTTTTCTTTTATAAATAAGTTATAATTACAAGTGAAATTGCGTAAAGATCTTGGATGAACAAAATTTAACATAAGTAATCTTGTAAAATCAACACCATATGCATCAATTATTTCTTGTGGATCAGTGCCATTATATTTTGATTTACTCATTTTTTCCCAATCAACTTCAACTCGTTCTTTTGTCAACGAATGTATCATCGTATTTTTATCAATAGTTAAAACTTTATCTTTCGTAACGTATTGACCATTCGATGTTTTATAAGTTTTACCTTGTACCATTCCTTCAATGAAACAGAAAAAAAAGAGTTAATCAAAAAATAAAAGCTATCTTACCAATGGGTATAAATCGTTTAAATGGTTCAAGAGAGGTACATAAACCTTTAGAATGCATAAAATGTTGAATAAATCGAGCAACAAAGAGATGTGTTAAAGCTAATCAAATCAAAAATATTTATGCAATGTCTATTTTATAATGTTAAACACGGAAAAAAACATACGTGCACAAATTAATTACCATGTTCAAGTCCGCCGATATAAAGATCGACTGGCATCAATTTATTAACAGTATTAGGTTCAAATGGTTTTTCAGTATTTTCATTATCCAAATAACGTAAAAAATACCATGATGAATCAACAAATGTATCCATTGTATCTGTTTCACGTTTAGCATTCTCATTTCCACATCTATAACAAACGATATATATATATATCATAAAAATAATTTAACTTACTTTGGACATTGAGTTTTTTTCCAAGCATGTGCATTAGCTAATGGTGAAATACCAGTTTTTGATGAAGATCTTATATTTTCAATTGATGGTAATCGAACAGGTAATTCATTTTCTGGTACTGGAACACTCTATCAAGAAAATATCAATATAATGTTTAGAAATATGTAACAAAAAATAAATATATAACTTACACCGCATTGATCACAATGAATTATTGGAATTGGTGTGCCCCAGTAACGTTGACGCGATATACACCAATCACTAAGTTTACCAGATGTTCGATAACCACCTAATTCACGTGAACGAAGTTCACTGAGTAATGTTTCTGTATCCATTTTATGCCAATGAGTTGATGAATCGATTACAGTTGAAACTTTATGTTTATTTGCAAATGACTCATCATATGAATTCGATTTCGGTGTACCTAAGAATAAATAATAATAACAGTTTGATTTATTTTTATTTAAATTCATTAATTCTAACCTATTTGAACATTTAACATCGACATATTAGCTCGTATTTTTGGTCCGTAATCTGCTTCATCATTGATAAAAATTGGTAATAAACGATCTGTTAATGGATGAATAGCATTAATACTTAAACGTTTAATACCATTTTCTGTTTCCTAGAGGAATATTAATGTGTTAAATATGCTTTAATTAAACATATTTTTCTCACTTGTATTAGATCAGATCGAGCTAGTTTATGATTACTTCGTATGTAGAGATGTGTAATATCTAATAATGATTCAGGTGTTGTTGTAAATGTTTCAAGAAAATCGAATTCAGCTGTAGGAATCTAATATATATATGTATATATTCATTTTTTTTCTATTATTAATTATCTTTTCTTATTCATACCGATAGTTTAAATAGTAAATTAATTCCATTACAATCTCCCATCCACATACGTTGAATATTAATCAATGTTTGCCAATCATCCTTGTCTAATGTATCAAGACTATTGTACAGAGACTATCAATAAAACAACATCAAATATTATATTTAGACATATATATATATATATAGGGACATAAACAAATATGTACAAAATACACACAAAAAAATATTTAAGGGTCAACTGTACTATAGCATTGTTTTAATTCATCAAGTGTATAAAAGAACTTATGTTCTAAACTATATGGTCTACATTCATATTTGAATTGAATAGGACATTCATTTAATAACATTCGAATAAGAATTTCTTGATGTTCAACATCACGACTTTTACTATAATTACGATGTCGATATATATCCCATTGAATATTAGCTGTCATGGGTGAAATTTCTGCACCACGCCAGGGATTATTTTCATACGTATATATTTCATTGATTGCTGTTTGTTGATCGCTTTTGTTAGGTAGTTTTAGTAGAGCTGCAAACGGAATAATTGTTTCAGCATGACTAAAACGTGCTCGAAGAAAATGTGTTGGATCTAGTTTTGAACATTTTTCAGAATTAAGAAAAAAATCATCGAGTAATATTTGTGCCATATCATATGTTATTGTTCGACCAAGAAATCCGGGACCTTTTTCATAATATTCCTAAAATGAATGTTATAAAAAAATATTTTATTACAAAAAAAACAAATCTTATTTACTTTTGCATCTTGAAGATAAGCAAACCAACTTGATTCATTTTTAGGAAAATATTTTTCTAATAAAGATCCAACACCTTCTTCACGTAAATTTGGACCAATTAAATAAAGACTATGAAGCGCACGGACAGCATCGACTTCATTTTTAATTGATTTTCCAGATTCAGGATCAGTAATCACATAATCTCTATTTATAAGATTATTAATAAATGATTTCTTATATAATCGTGCAAGTACATTATATGCCATTTCTTTTGAATAGTCTTGCATTTCGATAGAACGTAATTTATTTTTTAAGCGTTTATCTTTTTTAGAATATGCATGATATTTTCTATTTACATGAAAATAGAGTAGATTTGGATTTGATGGTTCGTATTCAATTGAAGAAGCTACATATGTTGGTAAACCTTCAACAAATGCTTTTAGACTTGCTTCTGTACGAGATTTGCCGCTACTAACGACTTGAATAGAATTGGAAGAATTACCAAACAGATTCTTCATAAATAATGGTGCAATACGTTGTGTTAAACGATGTGCAAGAGCTTGATGTTCAAGTTTACCAAGCCCAGATAATTCACCACGCCTATTTTTATAAATAGAATAAGAAAATTGCAGAAAAAAAAATATTAATTAATACAAACCCTAATTTATCATTGACATCAATAAAATACTGAAGATCATTACCAAATTGTTTACCATATTCTGTTAATGCCTCTTCGTTTTTTGCTAGCGTCCATAATGCCATTGTTAGTTTATCATATTTTCGACCTTCTAATGTTCGACATCCATGTCGAGCGACCAATTGCGTACATACTAATTCAAATTCTGATGGTGGTGAAACTAATTCACATAATGGTGGATTATAGGGTGTTTTCGTTGAATAATTTGTTTCATTTGTCGCATTTATTTTACTGATTACAAAACTTATTATTAGAACTACGCAGCAAGGTACTCCAATTTTCATTACTCCGTAGATAAGAATAGCGAAGAAAAATGATTTGAAAACAAGAAGAAAACAAATGCATATATGCACGTACACCGAGGGAAAGAAATTATCTATTCTGTCAGCAAACATAGCAAAAAGTGGGTGGAATAAAATAACAATTCTAATAATTTAAGTAAATAATAAGCATCGTTTGTAATACTCAAATTGCGTATCAAAATAAGTAAGTATTCGGGTTCTCTGCGTCCTTTTTCTGTTTATAGAAACACATAACTATGTTTACCTGTGTGAATGCGCGTGTACGAATAAACCATTGTTTTAGAAATTTCTTTTCAACAACTGCACCAGATCGCCATGAACGACCAGCTTCATCTATTTGTTCATCAGCTAAAACTGTTTGATCAATAGGATCCCAATTAACAGCTGCCTAAACCAAAAAAGAAATAATTCAATAATAATTTATAAATATTCTAACCTTCTTCTGATAAACTAATCCTTCACGATATAACATAAGAAATATATATTGCGTCCATCTATAATAATTTGGATCACATGTTGCTAATTCCTAAAAAATGAATAATGATAAATCAAATTGATAAAAACAAAAATTTTATTTACTCGTTTCCAATCAAAACTACAGCCAAGTTGTTTTATTTGTTCTTTCATATAGGCAATATTTCTTTAACAACAAAAATTGTCATCCCGTAATTTATTTATTTAAAAAACAAACATTTACTTTTGTGTCCACTGATGCGGTTCTTCAGATCGTTCAAAAGCAGCATTTTCAGCGGGTAAACCAAATGCATCCCAACCCATACAATGAATAACCTATTTTATAATGCATAAAAACAAAAAATCTCTAATTATTCAACAAAAAAAACTCACTCGGTAACCTCGTAATCGATAATAACGTGCTAATGTATCACTTAAAGTATATACACGAACATGACCCATATGTAAACGACCAGATGGGTAGGGAAACATTGGTAGAACATACATTTTCTGTTTTTTATCATTATTCTTTATTTAAAATAAAAAAAAGGTAACCTAATAAACAAACATTATCAAATAAATCATTCATACTGAGTCTATTTGGTATTTCTCATGTTCATCTAATAATTTTGGTATCCAATGTTGTTCAATTTCTTTTGTTCGTTCTATAACTGAACTTTTTGGCTATAAAAAATACAAAAAGTTCTATAATACTTCTTTTTTTTAATATCAAAATGAAGTAATTATTTCATTCGTTTTCTAAACTTTCTAGAGATAAATTATATGATAAGTACCCATTTGCCAGTTAAACTGTAAAGTGTCCGTCGGAATTGTAGATATCGCATAATTTTTATATTTAATCTATAAAATGAGTTTTTTCTTTAATTAGTGTATAACCCAATTAGTCAATATATATATATATTTTTTTCTTTTATAAAAAAAACCCCCTATATGAGATTCACCAGGTAACAGAGAGAAATATAGAGCCCACCGGTTTGAAAAGATTAAAAAATACATAAACATAGTTTTAAAAAATATTCTTTCTGGTTAAAATAAATAAGTTTATTGAGATTTTTCATGTTGATTAGTCGATAGATCTTTGAAACGTTGACATAAAAAGTTTTGTTTATCTTCATGATTATAACCAAATTGTTGATAAAATGTAACTAAATGATCTTTACATTCCAATGATATTTTATAGCAATCACATTTTTCTCGTGCAAATTGTGTTAATAAATTAATAAGTAATTTTCCAAGTTGTTGACCACGACATCGATCATGTACACAAACATCTTCAATTCGACCACGTATACCTAATTGACGAATGAATTTCTTCTCACAAACAAGTGTTGCTGTACCAACAATTTGTTTATCATTATTGATATCTTCAATTACAAGAATATGATATGTATTTGGACATTGTTTCATTTGATTGAAACGTTTTTTAAAATCATCATATGTAACTGTACCACAATCAGTTAATTGACGAAGTAATTCAATAAAACCATGATCATAATCAGAGATTATTAATGGTCGAATAAGATATTTATTATCATAAATATTATCCTGAAGTTTGACATCTTTTAGTGAATATTCTTTAAATATTGATTGAAGTAGATTTTTATCGAATAAATATTCATTTTTATGATCACCGTTAGATTGTATCTGATAACCATTTTGTTCAGTCATTCTTTTCGTTTTTTTTTGAGAAAAATAAAAAGGAAGTGAATAAATTTATTTCGAATAACCAAAAAAAAGAGATTAAATATTCTTATATTACTAAATTTTGTATTGACAAATGATTTTCTAGACGGTAGATGGCAGGAAAAACTGATCTGATATTTCTTTTGCATTAGAACAAAATCGTACATTTAATTGATATTTTGTACACGCTTGTTCATTATAAACATTAAATTGTGGGGATTTTCCCTTCAAACATTCCATTCTTTAAAAACAAAATTTTTGATTCAGTATAATATTCTAAGGAATGCAATGCAATGTAACATACTACATTAAATTATTTCTAGTAAAAGTAGTGCGTAATTCAATTCAAAACGAATATCTATTTCTTTATTATAAAATTCTTTGAGTTGATATGTTTTTTTCCATATTGTTTTAACATTAATATTCATAGAAGAAAAACTACATTATTAATTATAATTTAATTCGAAATTAAAATAAACAATATTTTATACAAATAGAAAATGAAAGAAAAAAGAATCATTTGACAATATTTGGTATTATAAATCTACATCTTTTAAAAATTTATTTCCTTGACTTCCTTTTCCATCATATGTATGTCGAAGTTTTCCAACAGATGGTCGATTTCGATCTTTCCCTGTACTAGATGGTAAAGGTGTATAAACATCTTTCTTCTCGTGTTTCGTTGAATCATCATCTGGTTGTGTTTGCGATTTTCTTACTTCATCAATTGAATAAAGTATATCACCTAATTTTAATGCAATACGACGTTCATCAGGACTTATTTCACGTGCATCAAGAAATTTCAATGTTGAAATACGAAATATTAATAAATGTCTATATCGTTGATATTCTTCTTCAAGGCGATTTTGAGCGAATGCACTAAGATCCGTACTATTTGATGATGATGTTTGACCTGTTGAAATTATTCGATATGGACATGCTTCATTACCTAATAATGATAGATATATAAGCATTGGATAGGCATGACGTAATTGATCAACTAATTTATAAATATCTTGAAAACGATTTTTATTTAACATTAATGTATTTAAATGAGCTAATTTTGGAAAAGATGTATGAGTATCATCTAATTGATTATCATCAAGAATAAGTTCTTCCAAATTAGGAAAATTTTTAACAGAATCAAGTGAACGAAAATGATTTTTACTTAAATCAAGAATCTAAACACAACAAAAAATATTTATTTAAAATAAAAAAAATGTTATTTTCCTTACTTTTGTTTTAATTGAGAATCTATCAATAATATTTTGAGGGATATTATCATAATTTGAACCAATACATGTAAGTCTATTTGAATCTTCATCATATATAAAATGGCTATCGTCTTCAATTGAATTAATTGTTGAGTCTGATGAACCATCATCTGTTCGAGGTTCATTTGTCTCGTTTTCAACGATTTGTGTTGGATTATCATTATCCTGTTCGTCACTCATTATATCGTTATTTAAGCTTTTTGATGATATTTCTATAATTTCAGGTGATGTTGTAACTGCTTCGAAGTGTTGATGAAGTAAGAAGACACATGATAGAGAATACATGAAGAAGAAGATGATGATGATAAGATATCAAATAAACACAAAGAAATGGTGTTTTGTTAGGTTTTTATTTCGAAATATATAAACGGCGTAAAAGAGAAAAACAAAATAAACAATCTATATCACGTCATCTGAGGACAATATTAAACACAGTAAAATCATGCCGTAATCATCCTGTTAAAGACGAAAGTCTATTTTGTACTGTGTTACTTCAACGAACATAAAGTACAAAAACAAAAAAAGATAATAAATTATTAATGCTACGACATAGGTTTCTTTGAGTATAAAATAATTTTGAATAACGTTAGAATAAAATCTAGATCACTGCTTTACTTATGAATCTATTTTAAAAGGTCAATGAAAATCGTACATGATGATGCGAAGATAAGTATATAAATAATTGTTATCACATGGTATGATATAGTATTTTTTTTACGATTTATCTAATCTATACATTCTGTTTTCGATGAAATCTATTAGATATATGTTTCATAATTTATTACAAATATTATATTTTTTTTATATTATAAAAATGTTGATTCAATATAATCAGCTTCAGTTCCACGACATTTACATTGTCGACATACATATGGTCGTTGATGAACTATAGTAAAGATAAAAAAAACAAGATCCAGTCATTATGTAAGAAATTCTAATTACTTGATCCATCTTTACTAATTTGTTTTTCTTTCCAATATTGTTCAGCAATTCTTTGTTGTTGTTTACGAATATGTTTTACATCGTAATTACCATGAGCAATAAAAGTGTTATTTCTTTTCTTCGTGCTGTCATGTAATCCTAAGAAATAGAAAATCTAGAAATGTATATAATATAATATTTTATTTTACTTTTCCGCATGTAATAACTTATTGGCCATAAACATAAATTCAATGGTGGAACAAACATATCTTTTTCTTCATATTCTTTTAAAACAACATAAAAATGATAACACCATGTTCGATGTGATTCACCATGAACACGTTGAATTGTAAAGCTAAAAGATAAAATTCTTTGATTTCATTCACATATATCAATTATTTACATACTTAAATAAAGCAATTAAATTATTTAATAAAAGAACATAGGCAACAACTAAAAAAGCTATTGTTAAAATTAAAGTTACAAAACCATAAGCATCATTTTTTGCTAAAATGAAAAAAAATCTAATTTATATAAAAATTTTCCCTTAGGAAATTAAATTGAACCTGTATATTTCATTTCTACGGAATCACTTGTTGTTAAACTTGTACTTCCAAATATTTTCCATGTACCCCATTCAATAATATTTCGAAGAATTTCTATATTCGTTAAATTTCCTCCATTTTGTACAGTTGTAAAATGTGTTGAGTTTGTCCATATAACAAATGATGATGTAGTTATCAATGAATATGTTGTTATCGCATAAGCAGAGAGAAAAATAAGAATAAAAAATAAAAATGACATTAAATCTTTCATCTAAAAATAATATAATTCATTTCTTGAAGACAAAAACAATTGTATACCGTATGAAATATCATTAATAACTTGGGTCCCAATCTTTCTGAAGCGAGAAATACATGTAAACATCGCATGTACCATAAACATAAATCAATACTCATACAGATTCTATTAAAATCAATATGAAATTATTTTAAAATAATCGCCTTTTTTCCCCATACTTAGATACTTCGAATGCATGATCTCGTACAATAAAACGTGTAATAAACCCGACAATCCAAAGTGTAAAAGCAACAAAATCTAATACATTCCAAGGATCATTTCTATAAAATGACCATATTGTATTTCGATGACGATTTACTTCAGATAATTTTTTCCAATAAGGAGATTTAATCAAAGCTGATTTAACATGTAAGAAAACCTGATAAAAATATTTTCAATTTAAAAAAATCGTTATTAATTATAAATACTTGTCGAATTTCTTCGAGAGCAATTGATGCAAGAAATATATGTAGAATTATTTCAGTTAATGGAATAGGTAATCGATAAATATTTGAACGTTTTTCTTTATAAATATTCAATGGAAAATAATCAAATAAAATTGTATAACTAAATAAAATCAAAAACGCAGTGTATGATGCCTAAATTTAAAAAAATAACATAATTAATATAAAATATAAAAGATGTTCATCGAAATTTACTACCAACTCTTATATGTAAATAATCAGTACATACCATATTGTAGTGAAATCGAATAACTGCATTTCCATGATAAAATCGATTGAAAAGTTCAAATTTGTTTGTTATTTTACTCCAAAAATTATAACCATTTGTATCGAATTTATTTCGTTGAAAAATTCGATTGTGTATAATTGGAATGAATAATAATATTGGACAAATACACACAAGACAGATCTACAATTAAACAAAATCTTATATTTTTCATTGCTTTTTTATTATTACTAGTATTTCCCATATGAAATTTTTATTTTGATGAAATTCAGTTCCATACCATTTCGTATTCATATAAGATTGCATACAATCAGTTGATACTAAAGTTTTCGAGCAAAGTTCATCAATAAGAACTAATGATTGTTGATCATGATATAAAATGGATTTTTCATGTAAGAATTTAATAGTATTTTCTTTATTATCATCATAACAAAGATCGAGTATATCAGCAGCATACATATCAAATTGTCTATAGATAAGTAAGATACGTTACATGATAAAAACAATTTATGTATATATTTATAAAATATGTTACCGACGATGTATTCGATAAGTATCTGAAGTTGTATAATCATTCAGTTCTTTATATTGACACCATTGACTAACCAGTAACATAGCAATAATTGAATCCTTAAAAATAAATTTCGAGTTATATTAATATTTAATTTTTCTTTATACTTCTAATCGAGTGCAAATACTCATAGCAAGTTCAAAATATTGATTTTCAATAGCCCAATAGAATAAAAGACGAACATAAGCTAAAAAATATATTAATCATCTGTATCTATATTCTAATAATTCTACCTTGAACACGTTTATCTGAATCAAGATTTATTATAATAGGAATAGTTTCAATTATAAATTGAGCAATTTGACTTTCTATAACAAAGAACATAAGAAATACTACATATCATATATCCTTACTTCTTTTATCAGACTAAATGAAAATAAAAACAATATATATTTTCAGAATATTTATTTAATAATTTTCTTACTTGTATTTTAAAAAGATCTGAATCACTAATAAGAGCTAAACGTTCTAATGATGCTCCATATTCAAATAATAATTCAACAAATGGTACAACGTTCGAAACAAGTGCCATTTCAAGACATTTATCTAATTCTTCATCCTATATCATATAAACATTTTTAGTTAAAAAAACATAATTCTAAAGCATCAATAACTTACTGTCCAGTTTATAATCGTATTATGATTAAGAATATAAATTTGAGCATAATTTATTTTATTCCATCGCATAGCAAAACTTAATTTACGAATACGTGCATGATCTTTATCAATAATTTGTATTGCTGAAAAAATAATTCAGATAAAGATTTAACAAGAAATGGTTTCTAACCTGTACTGATAGCTCGAAGAATACTTTCATCAAGTTCATCTTTACCCGGTTGACAAACAAACATAAGTGTACGTGTATTTTCATTCATATTGATAAGTCGATGAAGATCTTTTTCCGATAATATTTGTTCATTTGATGTTTCATCATAAATATTACTCATCGGTTCATATAGAGCAGCTATTTGATTAGCAATCATTCCTGTACCCTTTAATATATAGGATTTAAAAATAAATAATAAGATTATGATATGATTACTTTTAAGATGATTGTTGGAATACGTTTAGAAATATTTTCAATCATATTTTCGATAGTTAAATCATCACCTGATGAAATCAATGAAAGATCAAGAAAATTTTATTTAATATGTGATTTATATTACCTTGGATTAGTAAATTAATGATAGGAATATGAGAAGATGTTGGTTGTTGTTGAATTCGAGAAAGAGTTTTATCAATAAATTGATAGGCTGAAGAATGATACATTATTATTTGTGATTTACCAAATGACTAAGAAAATTAGTAGAAATTAAATGAATTCTTTTTTTGTTTTTCAAATGAATATTACTTTACATATAACAATATTAGGATTGTCTTCATCATTCTCAACCAATTCTCTTTCATTTTCTTCTAAATCAAGCATTTCTCTAGTACCATTTAAAAGCCAAATATCTATGATAGATAAATTATTTAAACTTTAATTTAAAAATCCTAGAACTTTACTAGTTTGTTCCATTAAATTACACATAATTTGTTTGAATATTTTTTGAATTGATGCTCTGAATGTATGTCTAATTTTTTTATTTTTTATACCAATTATTTTAATAATTACATTTGGTAATGATTCTTGAAGTAAAAATTGACTAAGGTCTTCCTTTTCATTCCTATCTGTTAAATTAAATTTTCGAGAATGATGTATAAATTCATTTAAAGAATTAGCAAGTAAAGTTAAAGTTGAAATATTTGCCTAAAAAAATATAATACATAAAATATTTCTTGTGTAGTTCTATAAAATAATTCTTACTTGTCCAAGACCATTTTGCATAGAAATATATTCAGACATATTTGTCTGTTAACCTTTTCTTAAAAACAATAGATACCTGTAGTTTGTGAGAGGAGTAAAAGAAAAATGTGTAGACTTTGTCATAATCATGATAACATAACAAAAAGTCGAGAAAAAAAACACAGGTGATAACCGGCTTAAATATAAGATGAAGTCGTTTGTTGATGAATAGTTCAAACATTTCTTTTTATCCATTGATAAGATCAATCCTAGATTATTCAATATTCTTTATCATTAAACAAATTCTAAGAATTATATATTTTATTCTATTTATTAAGAATATATGTACTTATGATTGTATTCTGCACATGCATACATAAAAAAGAAATAATCTTTTGAATCAATTTCATATGTCAACATATTCCTCTTGTTTTGATTTTTGTATCTTGTATGAATAATAAAATTTAGAATGATAAATTCTTAAAATTTTTGTATCGATACCTTCCATATTACGTTAAATTGACACATTTGATAAGATTAGTATGATATATTTGTTATCATTGCTTGAAATTTGTAACTACTGCACAAATTATTTCTGTACCTAAAATATTTACGTTTTTTTTCTCATAGTTTAATGGTTGTGGTTATAAAATTTAAGACTATTTTGATGGTAATCATAAATCGGTCAATAATCTTATTGATGAAAGTTCATGACTGTTGGTTAGATTTTTTCCCTTTACCTCCTGGTGGGTCATTTTTGACCCATTCGTAAAAACTTTTTAGAAAATAAAGGAAGCGTGATACTCAAAAACTCCCAAAACAATATTTGTAGGAAACTCCATAAGCTATCGATTGGCAAAAAGAATATTTTGTTTTGTTGCTCTGTCTCCGAGATATATCACTTTTAAAATCATTTTTCTATCTCTAAGCAATGTATATCTCGGCGGCATGCTGTGTGATTTACATCTAGGAAAGTGTCCACTAGTAGATTATATGAGTTTCAAAAATTTAAAAAGAATTAGATAGGTAAGATATGTTAAAGCAGACAATGGTCACTCGAGGAGTTCAGAAAATCAGCAGCATAGGTTCTCGACGTCCACAGCCTGATAATAACGTTTTGTTTAAACCATATAATATTATAGAGCGAACAATTCTCTACAGAATAAGACGTCTCTGAGCTCTCTAAGATGTTTTTTGCCGAACTACATGAGTATTACGGAAAGTCCCTGAGATTCTTTTAAGTCATATTGGAGGCACCAATACTCTATTCCAATCGTTGTTTCATCAGTAGGTCTTCTAGAACCGCGCCAGGGGTTAAAGTGTTATATGATAAGTAACTTTTTCAAAAAACCTCATTTTCAATAAGTTGAATTTATCAAATTAATATTTATCTTGTTAGTTTTTGGCCATAACTATAATACTCATTCGTCTTTCATATCATGAGATTTATTGTATTGATAGACAAGATATGTAGATAATATATATTTTTTGTTCAAGAATTTCATATTTTTCAAATATTCATGCATATTGTTATACCTATATTTATATATTTATATATATTTTGACAAATCAGAACAACGTGAAGAAAAAAAAACAATTCAATCAATATTTTTCAATAGAATAAAACATATAATAATTTTATTGATGATTTTCTTCTTGTGATTGTTCTTGATTTGAATTATTTATTTGTAATTCATCATCGTCATCATCATCCAAAATTACACTAGTCGGAGAATCTAGATTTTGAACTGGATAATAAAAATTAAATAATGAGTCAGACATATAGAATGGATATGTACCTGAAGTTGTTTCTTGATTTTTATATCGTTTATTACTACGATGATGATGATGCTTTCGTTTTTTCGATGATGCAACTTGTATTTGTGGTTCATTATTCATAGTATTACTTTCATTTTCATTTTCATCTTCATCTTCAGATAGAACAATAAGTGTAGGAGTTCTCTCACGAGTTGGTTCAACATATTCAACAATTTCACATTCAGGTGATGATGATCGATGCTCAATCTCTATTGGTGATGGTGATGAAGAAGGAGATGATGATGATAATGAAGATGCTGATGATGCTGAGGACGATGATGATGATGAAGACGACGATGACGACAATGCAATATCTGTCTAAAATAATTAAATAAAATTGTTTTTAATATAATCTTTACTTTTTATCAAAAAATAAACTTACAATATTAATTGATACATCTGGAGTTTCATCAAGTATAATTGGTGTTTGTTCATTTCCATTATTATCATTATTATTATTATCATCATCATCATCATCTATTGAAATCTGCATAGGTAATGGTATATTTGGCGTTGTATTCATTCTTGGATATTGAGCATGACGATCAAAACCGGCTAAATCATATGGACAACGAGCAAATGTATAAAATTCATGTATAAAATGTCTTGTATAGCGTCGAAGATATTCATTTAATTTTCTTGTTAAAAAACTTGAACGTATATTATGTAATTGTATAGTTGTTAAAATTTCTTGTATAATATGTTCAATAGTTGTTTCATCATTCCATAATAAAGCTAATAATTCTCTTGCTAAAAATGGTACCAAACGATGAAGACAAGCTGGATTTGATGCATACCATGTTGGTGAACATTCACGTACAGTTAATGTATCATGATTATGTCCAATTAATGGACTACGTACAAGTAAATGATTTAAATAAATATATTTTCGAAATGCAACTGTCTGACGTGTTGATTGAGAATAAATTGTTGATTGCCGTAAATCCGACGTTGTTTGACGTAAATAACGATGAAGAAGACGACGTATTGAATCAAGTGGTATTATATTTGACCAAGATGTTGTTGTATGTGTTTCACGAACAAATGGTGAAACAAAAGAATTTCTTGAATTATTACTAAATAAAAATTCAATTAGATTATTTTAATATATATAAAATAGAAAAATATATTACTTTGGTCGACGAACAATCGATTGTATTGTATTTAACCATTCAATATAAACCATTTGGCGAAATACATCTTGAGGTCTATCATTATTAGAATGATTTGATCTTGAATGATGTCGATCAACCCAATTAAGAACATCATTAATATTTGTAAATGTTGTTGATGATGATCGTCGTGGTGCTTGTATACGAACTTCTTCGATAAGATCACCAGAATAATGTTCGCGTGTTATTAAATTAAATGGTTGTTTACATAATGGACAAATAGCACGTACTTTTGACCATTCAAGTATACAAGAAAAACAAAATGTATGTGAACATGAATCGATTCGAGCAATAATATCAACTTGTTTATTATTTAAACATACAGCACATTTATCTGGTGTTGGAGGACGAACCGCAACAAGTGCAAGTAAAGATTCTTGATCTAAGTTTGTAGAAGTTTTTGATAATTGATTATTTATACCTGTTTGTTCTTCCATACTTATGACATAAGAAAAAAAAGTATCTGAAAGAAACAAAAAAATATTGTGACGTACAGTGTAAAATCATCAATCGTATTTAAATGTTTTGATCATAAAAGTTTACTCATATACAACTCATGACGAAATAACCCAACAAATCAAATTAAATTAAGAAAATCATTTGTAGCAAAAGAATATTCTAGTAGTGCCACTATCCTTCTCTTTCTTCATATGACGTAGCGCTTTATATAAATGTATTGAAATAAATAACAAAAGCGAATAACTTTGGTAGATGTCGTTAATCTCCGAGAACGATATAATTTCTATTTTATTCTATAAATCTATTGAATATTTATTTAACTTGTAAGCAAGCATTTTTTTCATAATAAAAAATCGATGTTAAACTTTATAAAAAGAACCCATAGTTTAATTATATGAATTGTCTATTTTCCATTTCGATGATCGAGCCATGTACCTGATGAAGTAACACTTACACACGTGTTTGTAGTCGGATGACATTTAGATTTCTCACAACATGCTTTTGCAAGAAGCGTATGTTTACATGGTTCACCAAGCGCAATACATCCGAACAATCTAAATAAATATATTAATCATATATATATCTTTATTATACAAATAAAACTAGCATTTACCTTTTATCATAATATTCCAAATCATCCCAATTTCGTGCTCGAGCAGAAGTACAAGTGATGAAAATCATCACAATGAAAAAATAGATAAAAACACGAAGATTGATCATTTTTTTCTTTTGAAATATATATGAAATAAACACACTGATTCGAATTGTATTTATATGTATATACAAGATACACAATACCTGTAATAACGACAGTAAACCTTGACGTTATTGTATTCATTGTAGGAAAGAAAACATCACATGAATATTATGTATGAATATATGTGCTGTGCAAAAAAAGTACAAAACAAGTTAGTAACATTAATAACAAAGAGCATACAACACTTGTCAATATGACTTATTCGATAAAAAATAATAAATGATATGATTTCAAGTGATATGTTGATAAAAGCATTGGAAGAGCTTTTTGTTCGATTCATACAATTTTTTCATGTCTATGTTTCAAAGAAGAAATACTACCTCGCATTAGATATATATTGATATAATACAATAGTAGAAATTTCACAAAAATATTTGATGCTCTATATAAAATTACATGTTGTTTGATTTCAAACTTCATTATCAGCTAGATAAAATGATATTGAGCCATTGTGTGTAATTCAATACATTTTAAGTAGTTATATTTATAAAAAAATATTATATAAATAAACTGATATTAGTTATACCTTAATTAATATTAAAACCGATTTATTTAAGCTAGACAGTCATTTTTAACAACAAATATTCTTTAGCCATTTAGACCTTCTTAATATACATGAAATTGAAATTTGTACATTTTGTCGACAATGATATTTATATAAAATATAAGTCTATATTTTAAAACTATGTGTGTACATGTCTAACAAAAAATTTGAAATTTCAATACCTGAACAGAGAACATCACGAATTACTAAAATTCTATATCAAACGATTTTAGCATTATCATCGTAAAAGTGTTCTTGAATAGTTAAATTATCTGGCTTTATATACTACTGATTGTCGATCTATCATAAGTATTGTACATAGTTTATCTACATGTGATGATGGTGTTGATAAACTAGAACAGGAAGGAGTCATTGAAACTATCAATCGATTACAACAACTTAATATGATCATATCAACTCTTCTTTGAACATGGATTTGTTCACTCTATTAAAAGAACTATTAAGGAAGTCAACTGTTTATCAACTTTTGAAAAGATATGAAATCTATGAAAAATGAGATACATTGTTACTATAAACATACGCTCAATTCAATGATCGACGAGAAAGTCAATATAGATAAGAATGATATTTTATTATTTATTTCTAATTGATTCTATTAATCGATAACTCTCACAGAAAAATACATCATCTGTTACTGATAATTCTCAAAAATCATCCACAATGCGTTGTGCTGTAATTCATTTATATATAGTAATGTTCTTTAATACAAAACTAGCTAGAACTAGATAGCATTTGAACTTCATTCAATTGCGAAATGCGAGGCAAAGTTTCAAATTTCGAAGAGTTGATAATTTAGAAAAACGAATTGTCGTCTCTATGAAGGAGCATGGAGTAAGTCTCCATGAAAAAACGTATTCTGTAATATATTGAAACTTGTACTATGCCATTATCCACCTATATGAAACAGATGACGATAAATTGTCAAAAGATACCTTGTTATGTGGCTTTATTAGTAGTTTTCAATAATTTATGAAAACAAGATAAATGTAATGCTTCAGGTGAGAAAACAATAAAACCAATGTATTGACTTCAACCGGTAAAAAATCAAAATCATTGAATGAAAATCATACAAAAAGAAGCGAACTAATATAATGATTTTCATTTTTGTGACATAATTAAAGTCATGTGATTGTTTCGAGGAAAACTAGTCGAACAAACCCTTTAGATGAAATTTTCTTCATTTTTGATTGCCTCAGTAGGTTTAAAAATTTCTTCACAATAGTTTATAGTTAGAAATCCAATCTGATATAATCATAATCAAAATGTTTAGTTTGATTCTCTCTCAGAGCTACATTCCGTTTTTTTCACTCCACAAATTTGTCATTCTTCTCTTCTGTTTCTATGTTTCTGTTGAGTATCTTTCATTCTTATCTAATTCAATGAAACTCTAGTTGTTCAGATATAATAATGTAACTGTGAAGGTCTTTTCTACAATACATATCTTTTCAATAAATATTGTTTACCTTACTGGTAAGTGTTACTGCTCATACTGAGTTCTCAACAAGAATAGGGTATCAACCGAGACACATTTTCTTTGTCATCAGTTTATTTTACTTTCAAAAAAAATGTAAAAAGAAATTATAATTTCTTTTTAATGTTTTCGAGATTTTTTCTCCATTGTTCAAGATTAGGATGATTTGTTGATAAGGACTGTTCTCCAATTTGTACAGCATGTTCATAAAATGAATGAGCTTTTGAATAATCGCCCATATTCTCATATACCAAACCCATGTTGTTATATGAAGCACCCAAACTAGGATGATTCAAAAGAAGCGATTGTTGTCGAATTGCAAGGGCTTCTTCATAATGAGAAAGTGCTTTTGGATAATCACCCATTTTGTAATATACCTCACCGATGTTGTTATAGGAACTACCCAAGTCAGAATGATTGGAAGAAAGTGCTTGTTGTCGAATTGCAAGGGCTTTTTCATGGAATGAAAGTGCAGTTAGATAATCACCCATGTTATAATGTACCAAACCGATGCCCGTGTAGCAAGAAGCTAAATCAGGATGAGTGGAAGGAAGTGATTGCTGTCGGATTGCGAGGGCTTTTTCATGAGATAAAAGTGATTTTAGATAATCACCCATGCTATTATACACCAAACCGATGTTATTGTAGGAATCACCCAAATCAGGATGATTGAAAGGAAGTGATTGTTGTCGAATTACAAGGGCTTTTTCATAATAAGAAAGTGCTTTTGGATAATCACCCATGTTGTAATGTACCGAACTGATGTTGTCATAGGTAGCACCCAAGTCAGGATGATTGGAAGGAAGTGCTTGTTGTGAAATTACGAGGTCTTTCTCATAATAAACAAGTGCTTTTGAATAATCACCCATGCTACCATACACCTGACCGATATTGTTATAGGAAACACCCAAATCAGGATGAGTAGAGGGAAGTGATTGTTGTCGAATTGCAAGAGCTTTTTCATAATAAAAAAGTGCTTTTGGAAAATCACCCATGTTATAATATACTAAACCAATATTGTTATAGGAATGACTTAAATGAGGATGATTAGAAGGAAGTGATTGTTGTAGGATTGCAAGGGCTTGCTCATAACAAGGAAGTGCTTTTGAAAAATCGTACATGTTGTAATGCACCAAACCGATGTTGTTATAGGAATGACCCAAATGAGGATGAGTAGAAGGAAGTGATTGCTGTCGAATTGCAAGGGCTTTTTCATGAGATAAAAGTGCTTTTGGATAATCACCCATGCTGTAATATACATTACCGATTTTGTTATAGGAATCACCCAAATCAGGATGATTGGGAGGAAGTAATTGTTGTTGAATTGCAAGAGCTTTTTCATGAGATATAAGTGCGTCTTGATACTTTCCTTGGTTATATTTGATCCAACCTAGTTGATAATAAATCGGTGACATGTCACTCTCATTTGTTGCTTGATGAAGTAAAACCTCATACACTTCTTCAGCTTTGGTAAATTGACCCATTTTAATCAGTAGTGATCCCAATCTGTACCATCCTTCTTCATCTGGAAAGGTCTCCTGTCGGATCTGATCACTAAGAGTTCGAAGATCTTGGTCGTTGTCACTGGTCAATATTAAATTTACTTGATAGAGATGATTATTTCCATCCATCGGTTGAATATCTCCAATACGAAAAACAGTATGCATAGAAAACAGAACTTCATCTTCCATATGAAAATGACTAACATCTGTAATAGAAGCAAATGGAGTTGTTGAATGAGTAGGATTAATTGTCATAACAAATAGAACTCCAACAAGATTCGGATTAGTAGCAGCTTGTGGTGCAAACAATAGAGAAACATCACGGTTTTTACTAGTTGATAGAAAGTTATTAAATGAAAGAAGTCCACCTTTAGTATTTGTCATTTCGGTAAAAGCTTCTTTGGAAAGACATTGTCCACGATAAACTGTAAATGTTTTATCAGATTGTTCACCATGAAATTGTTCGGAATGGAGTCGTTGAATATCACGATGCAAATCATTAATAAAGAAACCCATTCGAAGAATAATATCAGCATCCATTGATCTTAGTGATTGATTAAGCATCGAATATAAAAAATATTGATAAGTATACCACCAAATAGGCCTTTGATCATGATAGTCATGTTCCAATTTTTCAATATTATGTAATTCATACTCATTTTCGACAAATGCGTCACGACAATAATTAATAAATTCCTTGAAATGTTTGTCTTCGAAGTTAATGGTTAATAAGATCTCTTTCAAGATTTGAGTATACATAAATGATGGATCTAATTGATCCAACTTTTTATTTAATGCCACAAAGCTGATCGAGATGGCATTTTGCTCACATTGAGGAGCTGTTTGTTTAAGAGCGTCACAGATTGATGTTATATCTGTGAAGATTCCTTTTATTTTAGACCATTCTTTGGTCCATTGTTTATGCCATTGTTGATTGTTACAAAAAATCAAAATGGTGTCTACTTGCGATATGTCATGCACATGAGGCACAATATGTTTCCCAAGTTCACCAGACACAATCATACATATTTTGTTGTTGGTGATGGTTTGTATAAAGTCCACACATTGTTCACCATCTGTAAACGTGTTTACGTTGTTAACTACACATTTCAGTTGTTTGATTGTATTACTGCAATCATCGTTATTTTCATTAATATTGTTGTCCAACCAGATAAGGAGGACATTTTGCATTCTTTGGATGGTAATACGTCGTCGATTTTCAACTGAATCCTTGGAGAATTTTGATACATGTTTAGTATTAGCTTGTGCATTGGTTTGAACAGATGTTATTGATTTGTCGTTCGCCATTGTTTGTTGTAATGTAGACTACTTCAAAAAGAAATACTTATAAATAAATTAGAATAATATGTCATTTTATAATATAAGAATTTTCTGTTGAGGGTGTGGATGTGAGAGTGAGTGCTGTTATCACACATATTTCGCATCCATCCACACCCTCAAAAAAAACTCGCGACGGACTACATAAATGCTTTGCTTCGCATCGTATTAAATATATAAGCAGTTTTATGTTACAGCGATAGTTCTATCATACAAAGGTCAATTTTTTATCTCTTTTCAATAAACTGAATGAAACAGTTACTTTGGCTTAGATAAAACAAATAAATACCATAAATGAGAATAAAGAAAATATGCTTTATCATTATATCCTATGAGAATATATTCAGATGTTGATAATCAACAACTATATTAGTGCTTATATTCATACTATCACGCACATATTTACTATTTACAATAAATAATATACTTTTATTATTTGTTATATTGATTGGAATTGTTTCCAGTCATTTAAATGACCATTTGTTTATCCTAATGGTTATTCAACTTATCTTCCAGTAAAATTACCAACCAGGGTGTGGGTGTGAGTGAAAAACCGATGTGATACCAACGCTCACATCCGCACCCACCCTATCAACTTTTGAAAAGATATATAATCTATCAAAAAAATGAAAAATGAGATACATTGTTACTATAAACATACATCCAATTCAATGATCAATGAGAAAGTCAATATAGATAAGAATGAGATTTTATTATTTATTTCTAGCTGCTTCTGCATTATATATTGATTCTATCAATCGATAACTCTCACTGAAAAATACATCATCTGTTACTGATAATTCTCAAAAATTATCCACAATGCACTGTGCTGTAATTCATTTATATATATTAATGTTCTATAATAATATTTAATAATTATGATTATTATTGTCTTTAAAGAATAATATATTAATGATTTTTCTAGACAAATTCTTTAATACAAAACCAGCTAGAAATAGTAAGTCAATTAAATAGTTATCAATGGATTTCAATTCGATGATGAGTGTAAGATATATAAATCAATAAATCTTAAGTTTTCTATTATAAAAAAACGCAAATTAATATGAGTCTCTTGTGTATTATAAATACACATTTGCACAAAACATTCATTTTTCACTTTGATTTGCATGTTTCATACTTCTTTGCTCGTTTGTAAACTTGCCTTGAACGGTTATTATATTATCTACACTAAAATCACACGATTGTATAATATAAGTTCAATGAGTGCAAAGTTCAAATACCTATAACATATAACTTAATAACTTGACATATATGTATAAAAATGTTTGTGGATTGAAGTTATTCAGTAAAGTATCATACTTAATCAATTAAATATTCAGAAGATTGAAGTGATATTAATTTATTTTCAAAATTTTGTTATACAAGCTTTTGACATTCTACTCTTCTATCATGCTGTCTCATTAATAATAATGTATTCATAAATTAAAGAAAAGATTATACATGATCCAAATATGATTATAATATATACATATACGTTCAATGTTTTTTGTAGTGTATTAATTTGCTAATAATCAGTGGATCAAATCATCATATCTGATTTATCATTAGGATAACAACAAATTGTTCTTGCTTATTTATAAGTTGATGAATTAGTCAAAAGCTTTACAATTTATTTACCATTACACGATATACTCATAAAAACCTCATATACACGATCATACAAGGTACCGCAAAAAATTAATCGTTCATTCTTATGTCATTTCTCTTTCGTTTATATCAATTGACAGATCGATAAATCACAATTATTTATTGATTGATTCGCATACCTATATTCATATTTCTTTCATTCATAATATTTAACTAAAATTATGAATGACAAGAAAACCTTCTCGGTTAAAAGACATATACGTAAAAGTTATGAATAATTCCAACATATATATATCATTATTTCTTATTCAATACTAAAAAATGAATGTAGTAACTAAAAATAACGATAATCATCAAAATTAAGAATTAATGAAATAGTTCTTTACTTAAATGAAAAACAATATATTATATAGATCTTTATTTGTTAATGTAATGAAGAATAGATTTTTCCGTATCTATAATGAGTTAAAGGATTATCTCTCTTCTTCTATACTCCTCAAATGAAAAAGATGTTTATTGATTTTTCTTCTCCAGAAAGTAATCGAATATGTCTCGAATACAGTTACAACACGTTTAACTATATATTTCAGTATGATTTTTGTTTGTTGAAAATATGAAGATACATATCTACAAAGATCCTTGTATTTCCCTAAATAGATATATACATATAATGCGTCTTATTACCCTTCGCATTGAATAAGAATTATTAAGCAAAGGTCGTTGACGTCTAGAATACATATTGCAAAAAAACATTGTAACGATAGTCAATGTATTTTCATACTTAATCAATATATAAAATAATTAATAAAACTCTGTATTTTATTTTG